ATTTTATCATGTTTATTGCAATGGCCAGCAGGAGCCTCTGCAGGGGAATGAGTTACTCTGTAGTTTGTTTTACTGAGGATTGCAATGATGCCTTGTTTTCTGAGTATTTCTTTTTAATGGACGCAAACAGTCTGCAAAACTGTGCTTCGTTTGTGACTCGTCAAAAACAGTTTCGAACAGTTTCTTTTTGCAACTGACAGTGAAAGCGTGGTCAATTCTTTGTGTTTTTTGGGGGGGGCAAACAGTTTTAGGTTCTGCGAAACTATGCACCTACCTCTCCCATGGCCCAAATTAAACTCTAACTTTTCTCTTAGGCAAAAAATGTTGGATTAAGGGAGGTGTAAGTAGGCAGTTTGCCAGAGTCTTTTAGTGTTACTTTCTCTCTTTCTTATCTGTACGCTAATGATTTTTTTCTCAGTCAGATTTAAACGCAAATTTTTTGATGTACATTATCTCGTACTTAAATAGCAGGCTATGAATTGACTTGGTGTGTTGTTTTTTGGTTGTCTGGCAGTGAATTATGGAGTGTTGCTATTACAAGCGTTATTAGAACATTGGCCTGAGACCTTTAGTGGGATAGGAGATGAAGGAGATCAAGAACTACCAAGAGCTGACTCACCAGGTTTGGTCACAATGCCACGGTTTAGGTCACAATCCCACGGTGCTTTCCACGGATTTTTCCCGTATAACATTATTTGGGTATTATTGCCAAGGAGATTTGGGTTCAAAATGGTGACAAAAATCAATTATGGTAATCAACGATGTTTTCCAGGGAAACAACCTGTAGATAGATGGAAATCAACGCACTCATAGGTTCTACTAAGTCAAGGCCCACTTAAAGCTTAAGAATTGTTGACTATAGTAAGTTCTCAAGATATCCGATAAATTCCATTTACTTTAAAGGACCTAATACAGTGCTTTATTTCCACAGAAAGCGGCGACGCAAGTGCTAGCGAAGTAAACCTTAACCTTGAATCTGTGAGTAGTTTATAGAGCAGCTTTTATCTTGTTAGTGGCTTAGCCAGTTCTGCATTGCTACGCTTTATGATTGGATAAAAACTTCACCTTCCTTTACAAAGAAGTAGAATAACACATTAATTATGTCATCTGGGCAACAATGATCGCCTTTTATATAACTCTCTGACGTGGCAAACATAGTCGCCTACCCGTAGCCGTAGTTAGAAACGCGCTATAGCCCTGCCTCGTTTGTCACACCTAACCGTTTTGCGGTTCTCTTCTGCATGCCGTCCTGTTGCAGGCGCGGATCCACACCGGTTTCCACCGTTTTACGGAAATCGGTCAGATTTTTCATAATAAATACATTTTTAATAATAATAAAACACTTTCCAAGTTGAAACGTGGGCAATATGCTACCTGAGTGACTCGAAACCCAGGAAAGGGGACTTGAAGAGTTAAACACCAAAACATTTCTTGGGAAGCCTGCCCCCCAGACCCCCTTAGATAGTGCTTGCGCCTTCGGCCCTCGTTTAGGAAATCGGTCAGTATTTATTCCAGATCCGCGCCTGTGTTGAGTAAGCTCACTATTGCGTTTTGGTTTGGTTTAACAGCGTGTGTTAACTGGAAATGGATTCTATAGTGTTCCTGAACACACACCATTAATATTCAACGAGTGTAGCGGAACAGGACGAACCTTGTTCAGATTGCTGGTTTCTGACGCATCTGGCGAGAATGAAGGATATCTTCTTCCCGAGATTGTACCGCTCTGGGTTGTGGATGTTACTGTCAAGGTAAGGAAAGAAGAAGTCATTGTTGGGACGAAATGTGAACTTCTCTGGGCAAAACTTGAAGTTTATTCATCACTAATGCTGGTGACGGGATAAGCAGGTTAGAATTAGTGCGAGCAACCAAGAGCAGGCCTCAGATCTTCAGACCCCAGTTGCTCAAAGGGTGGATAACGCTCTCCAGTGGTTAAATCTCTGTCCGCTGGATAGTGATTTATCCGGTGGATAGCGCTATCGAACGTTTGAATAACAGGCCCAGGGTTGATCAACATCTAGCATGCGCGGGCTGTTAACCTTGGAGCATTTTCACGTGTCTGTGGCGGACTGCTGGCTAGGACATGTCAGACACTCGGAGAAAGCAAAGGAAAGAATGCTTGGAAGCCCCGGCAGCCAGAAGTAAATTCTAGCAACATCAAGGAGAAGAGTTTTTCAAGGAGAAGGGTATTTCTGCTGTCCTCATCTCCCCCAAGCAACGTTGATTGTGTTGAAAAAGACGTGGATGCATAACGTCAACACTGGGGAGGGGGTGGGGGGGAGGGGTAGGGAAAATGCGTCATTTTGACGTAGGCCCCAATAGAAAGGTTTTTACATGTATTTACCTATCAGTTTACCGTTCGCCTAAGATTATTTGTGAAGTGCTCTTTGATGATATTGTACGCTGTGTTATCTTTCCACAGAAACTGATGCCTAAATTTAACAAGATTGCATTTTTCTTGTCACCGCACTCTTCAAGTTCTTCAAAAGCGTTAAAGAGGTAAAGCTTGATACTATGATAGTTAAAATCAAATACTGAGGCTATAATCACACTATCCCGTATGGTTTTCGTGCATGCGGTAAAGCTTTCCGGTTCAGTGTAAACACCTATCCGATACGTGACGCTCCACTTTAGAGATCGGCGCGGCGCAGCTTCGCTCCGTTACAGAAATCGCGCCGAAGTCTCGGTTCTTATGTGAGAACAGAAACCCTATCCGATATTGCTTTCATGGCGGCCCAAAATCTATCCGGTATAGTGTAAACGTGTCCTTAATGCACTCGCGTTGTGGCCTGACTGTGTTTAATCTAAATGAACGCATTTTGTAGTCATCTCTTCATTGTTGGTTGATCCACTGAGGAGCCAGGAAACAGTATTTATGCTAAAGTTAGTGAATTGTGTTTTCAGGGATCGGCTGTCAGCCAGTGATATGCTTCACGTGCGAAAAGTGATTGAGCACGTGTATGAGAAGGTGATAGGAAATGATAATAGCAATAACTCAGGTAACCAGGCCGATAAAGAGCAGGCCGGGCCACCAACCGAGCAACAACTGGAGGAGTTAGGCGCATTAGCTGAGGCCCGGGTCGAGCTGCTGTGTCATGAACAGGTGGGTTTTTGAAGGACTTGAAGATTCCGTATTAGTACGTAAGTAACGTAATCAGACAGACCCGTACATACTGACTTGAATGACTTATAGTCATTCAAACGGTCGGTAGATCAAAGTCTCTCAGTGATGAATTTTTCAAGTCAGCCAGACATATTATTACATATCATTATTTCAGGAAATCGATCAGTCACCCAGTAAGTCACTAAGCCACTCACTCGCTCTCTTTTGTTTTAGTTAATTTGTTATCCTAGTAAATAGAGATATACTGCTATTCAGTAGTTTGTTTGTTCGTTCTTTCGTTTATTCAGTTAGTAAGTCAATCAGTCAGTTTCTTAATTTGTCAACTCATCAAAATTTAAGAGATTTCATTGGTTTATTTCTTGATCCACCCATTTGTTAGCCTGCGAACCCAGACGTGTATCTGTTGCGTAACTTTTTTCCACCCAAAAACCCAGTAGGGAGCTTAAGCAGCAACGTTTCTGAGCGACGCACGTCAACCGGAAGTGGCCTTTTCTCATTTTTTGACGGTGGTTTCGCGCAAATTTTCAGTCAAATCGCCTCTATAACAGTAAAGAAGCTAAGGAATACAAATTTTATATCATCAAGGCATGTTAAGAGGGAAAATACCTCACTTCCGGTTGACGTGCGTCGCTCAAAAACGTCGCTGCTTAAGCTCCCTAGTAGCTCGGGTTCACAGACGTTACTTTTCGGATAGAGAGAAGCGAAGACCCGAAATACGACTGCGTTCGCAGGCTATTTTTTTTGTAATCTAATAATATTTTCACTCGGTTAAGCTTTTCCTCCTGTTTACCTCTCCTTAATATACCTACACTCTGTATTGTTGTCAGGTTAAGCTGCATTTTTTCTTTCTTTATATCAGGTTTTAGATCCAAACGTGGATTTGCGAACAGTCCGGCATTTTATTTGGAAAGGCGGAGGAGACCTGCTACTACAGTATCGGATCATGAAATAGAATGAACAGAAAGGAATCAACTTGGCTATAGTAGCCCAGGCTTCTTATTTGGCGGCACTCCTCATAAACGAGGGTAGACTGATGCGATTATTTGTTCGTCGCTGTAGCATCGTGTACACTGCGGTTGTCGGCTTTGCTGCGATGTAACTGGCCAGCTTTGGTCAGTGTGTCGAAAGCCTCTGCAAGCTGTGTATGAAACGTAAACTGAGACAAGATCATCATTAGCGTCGATAAAAACATGTGCGACATAATCGTGGATGCAGACAACTGTGGACTTAAAGGAGAAGGGAAAACCTTTAAAAAAATAAAAGTGGTATTATCTGTCTCTGTTACACGTGACTGCCTTGCACTATGCAAGCCATTGCCGCTTGTACAATGTAAAAAGATGGGACAGGCGTTTCAAGTTAAAGCCCAAGTGACAGCAAAACATCAGTGTGAAACATGTCAAAGTTTTCATTTTGTATATTGTTGGTGGACTATTATACACAGTAACCTGAACAGTGTGGCAGCATAAGAAGCCCACCTCGTTTCCAGGGCCTCTCCTGTTACCGAATGAAAAATAAAAACTTAATGTCTATGCTTGTCCTACTGTACACTCTCTTTATCGAGTACCTAGAGTTGGCTCTTGCCGTTCTCCAGTCATTTTTGTGGAGCGGGTATTTACTAGTCTAAGAAGGACAGAGAAAGAATTTTTTTTTCTTCCGCAGTCCACTAGTAGCTTCTAAGCCGGACTGAGAGAAGGAGGAAGAATGAAAACTTCGAATTTCAATTTTTATCGGTAAAAATCAATTCATCCTTACATCAACAGACCTGGCGACTAGTTACCCAAAGGTGCTAGTTTGCTAGTTTAGGCGCTGTTTGGGTTAAAACTTGCAAATCAGAACGTTGTAAAATTGCAAGACGGTATCACAAAAAAACACCGGTGAGAACGGGTAAAGCCAGGCCATCCCAGCTCCCTGCGTAGGCCCAGTACTTCCATTTTTACTGCACGAAGGCTTGGCGAGTAAGAAACTTGAGCTTTAACAACGGGGACGGCAACGAGAAAGGCGAAAAAGCAATAGGTTTCAAAACAGCAACTTTGCACGTTTATCACGCTTTTTTCTTAATTTCTTTGCCGTAACTGCACGACTACGAAGTGAAAATGCCTAATTTCACGTTTTGTGAAGGACGTGAACGCAAGTAAGACAATTTTCTTTTCCTTTTCCTGAACTTCAATACAGTCGTTTAGATTTCAACTCCCAAAATGTGTTACAACATTTGAAGAAAAGCCCAGTAAAGTTTGAAGCAGCGCGAATTCAATTTAATAGTCACGTCTTCGTAGACGTCGCCGTCGTTGGTGCTTAAGCCCTCTTGTGTCTCATCAGTTACTGCACTGGCAACACCGGGGAAAACACCGCATTTTGTTTAAAAGAATATCAGAACAACTTTAAAGCCGAGTTACCTTAAAAAACAATTGCACCGTTTTCAGTCGTCGCTTGGTTTAGTCATCTTTTGTTTTTTAAAATTGTTTTTGCCTTGTTTTCATTTATCTTCGAGATATTTTCAGATGCGCACTTGTCAACTAGCTTAGTGTTCAGGTAGGTACGCCCCTGGTAATAAGACGAAAAGAAAAGCCTTACAATGATGGAAATCAGTTGTTATAATTAAATTCATAGTTTTTACCTTCCCAGGATTACGTTACTAAGGGAACAATTTATGGCTAACAAAACTCCTTAAACCTCCCCCCGATGATAGCTATTTAATAAAGCATAGCAAAATAAAATGATTAAAAATGCCATTTCTCTCACTTTGGCAATTCATAAAAGAGATCTGGAAGAAATTAAGGCGACGCGGAATGTGTGAAATGAGCATTGAACTCTGAACAATGCCGCTACAAGGATTGGTCATCAGGGATAGTGTTGACCCTTTAAATTTATGCAGACTTTGCATTTAAATCCTAATCGTGACCTGGGTGAGTATTTCGACTGAAAGACTATGGCGCCCAAGGTCCCACCAAATGGGAACAAAGTGGACTCCGAAGCAAAATGTAAGTTTTGTTTTGTAATTGTCCCCCGCCGTTTTAGCTTCACTGATCGAGTCGAGCCGTTCGAGGATGTTTTAAAAGGATTTTAGTATGACCAATCATGTGTGAATAATAATCACATCACGACTACTTAAAATTTCCTACCAATTCCTCTTAGAAATTAGATGTTTTTAAACCCAGTGGCAGGGAAGAAATAAGAGCTCTAAGAAACTTAACAAAGCTTTTCATCTGGTCGTAGGGAAACGTGTGAGTAACACAGCGATTGAGCATATCCTACAAAATCCTCGTATTTAAATCAGACAGAACAACAAATTAAAATTTCCGTATTATTTACTACGTTCGTAGGGCAAGTACACATTGTACATAACTGATTCCACGACTGATGGCTCCCTTTTGTAAGCAAACCTTAAGAAGCCGACAGCTCTTGACGGCAATCACTTTCCCAATTCACTTTTCGTCAGTTATTCTTTCGTCGGTATATTTGTCCTAAGTTATTGCATACACGTATTAGGAATATTAAATAAGATCATTAGATTTCCAGGGTGACTAACAGCGGGCTGAAATTAAAGATAAATTTTAATTTTTTGAGTTCCATGTGAATCTTTAGCCGGCCACTTGCATAATTTTTTTTCACGGTATTATCAGCTGGTTCTTTCTGCAATTTAAACATGCTCTGCGCTCTCGTACTAGGACAAGAGTAGTTTACGGAATGATTTTTAATCAACAAATTTACGTAAGTCTAAAGGTAACACCCCGAGGCGTAGGTGTTTTAAAATACTCTCCAGTGTTAAATATATAGGGCTAAAATACAAAAAAATTAGTTGTTTAACTGTAGTTTAATAATATAGTTTAAGCTGCTATTGCGGTGCATGAAGCATGTCGGGTGCACGAAACGAAATTAGCATTAGATGGTACATCAGTAACATCGGCATAAATTTCACGGCAAGTCAGCCGTGTCAAACAGGAAAAACCTTTGGTGACCTGTACTAATAGCTTAACGTGTAAGTAAGAAAGGAACTTTCTTTCTGGGTCAAACATAAAAGATTAGCCGAAAGAATACGAAAGAGCTCTAAAATGTATCTAAAAAAATAAACCGGTCAGAGTCTTGATGGGAGTTGCTCGCTCTGGGTTAGGCGGGCTCCTGATCTGAAAGATACCAGTTGTGAAAATGCCACTCGGATGTAAATAAAGTGATTAAAAATGACAAAAGCAGCAATCTTAACGTTCTAATCTTAAAAATGTATACTTCATTGTCGTTAAATTGTCTTGAATGTTTTGAGGACAAAATGGCAAGTTCTTTCATCAACAGACAAGCACAGGTCAACCAAGCTAGATATCATGAGCGTCGGAATGCTGTTGCATCCTGACCGTTCGAGTAAGGATTTGTGTGGGAAAGAAATGATAATTTCTGTAACCTACGAATATATATAAATATGAAAACGGCTAACCCTATTTAATTAGTTGCGTCCTTCTTCTTTCCTGTGTGGTCAACAATCGTGCCGAGTTTTTTTTATTTTGTGGGTTTTAATTCTCTTAATATTAGTTGGTTTTATACATCAACAATCAAAGTAGACAATCCTTTTTGTCCCATAAAACCAACCGTTGTAATCGCCTGTTTAGTAAATAGACCGGTTTCGCTAGCTACCCTGAATAAATTTATAAATCTGCTGGTTCCCTGAAAACAGCGCTCAATCAAAACAATTTTATGTATTTTGGTTAATATTGAAGTAACCCGTTGTAAATATACTTTTTTTACAGCTGAAAACCTGACGCTTCTCGACAAAGGTAAGGCAATTTTTTTGTGATAACTTGAAAATGTTCATGGTGTGGGACACGCGGTAGGACCTCCTTTGAGTGTGTTCGGCAATCTTGTCCCCAGTCTTCTGGCTTTTTGGTCAGAGCCAGGAGACTCTGGGTACGAGTCTTTTCGGAGGAAACCGGTCGTTTCGATACAAGTCGTTTCGACATTCTTCCTGACTCCCAGTTAAGCGGAAAAATCGCTCATTTCGCTGCCCAAACTGGCAACGGAACCTATTTTATAACAATGGTTTATTTCGTTTCCCATACAGAATTAAGGAATTTTTATTACAACTAAAAAAGTCATGGAAATATTTTTTTTTGGAAATAATATAATAACAACAACAAACAAATAAAGAAAAGCAAACAAACAAACAAACAAACAAAAACAGTTGTTAGTCACAAATGTAGTACTCACCGTTAACCTTCACACCCTTTTAAAGGCTTCGGTTTAAAAATGCACGTTCAAGACGCTAAATGGTCAGGGGCACCCAACGAGCATATAGTTCAAAACCACTTAACATAGCATTGTTGAACGTGTTTTAGTATTTAAACGGTAGATATAGTCATATTTTTATCCCCTAAAAACTTTTCATCTGTTCGGATTTCCTAGCTGAAAGTCTAGTGATCCGAAAATTATAGGGCTCAAAACTTGTCTTTTCGAAAATTTCAGCCAGGAAAAGGCTCCCGAAAATTCTAGGTGGCCTTTTCTAGTGTAAATATCCGTTTAAAATGGGTAATTATACCATTTTGTAGATGTTCGAAAATCCTAGGAGAGGCAGGGAAGCAAGAAATTTTACAACAAATGTTCCGAAAATTCTAGTTCTCAAATCGTCTTCCGAAGAGATATTTTCCCGAAAATTGCCGTTGGGTGCCCCTGAATGGTAAACTCATGTAAAAAACATACCCTGACTCAAGACCCTGAAAACCATCCCCTCTGGGCCATATAAGAGAGTGCACCCAGGGGGTGATCCTGGGAGAGTAACAACGAGTTAGCAACTGTACGTAGCCTTTCAGCCGTCTCCTCGGGAAGCCAGGAGGAGAAGGCCTATTAAACTTATTTAGTAAAAACCTTTTTTATCTAAAGAACAAAAGATAACAGCTGGTCGACTTAAAGTAAAACTAAAAAAACCAAACAGCTGGAAATAGCGTTCGCGTCATAAAAGCGGAAGAGATGGAGCGTTAGTAGAAACCTAGAGTAGGCTTAAATTGCCACTCATTTTCTATACTGAAAGTTGAAAAAGTGGGTTTACCCCTTAAAACAACCTAGAGATGTTTTAAAGAACGTACGATTTCCAGGGCAAAGTGACCCCGGCTACTGTCACGCAACGCAGACGGTCACACTGTGCTCCCCAGTCCCTCGCCAGCTGTTGCTTCTCTTACGTCAAGACGAAGAAAGTTGTGCTCGGGATGAACAAAAACATATATTGTCCTCTTATCCGGTAAAGAGAATAATTCACCGACAAGCAAAAGCCACTGAATCGGCTGTCGTTTTCTCAAGAGACAGTGTCTTTATTGACTTATTAATAATTTATAAACGTTTTGATTCACCTCACTACTCGTAAACATGGAGATGGCGGAGCAAGAAGACGGTGAGTCTGCTTATTTCTTTAATCTAAATCCTTACTTTGTATAACGGTGATAAGAATTTAATAGAATATCAACTCATGATCAGCAGATTGGAGCAGAAAAAGCTGAACATTTGCCGCTGCGTTCGAGTTGTTTGCCATTATCTGTCACCTCAATCGCCACTTACGCTTTAAGCTTTGTGTGTCGCAGCGGCAAGAGCTAAAAACCTGCCTCAAAAGTAGCGTTCCAAAACTCGTTTGAGCGAGGATCCGACATGACGTTCGTGCGATTTAGGGGTTCTGTTTTCGAGGTCCTATCACATTTCAAAATTTTACCGAATTTTAGCAAAGGTCTTCGCACGTTTTTTCATTTCATGAGCATGAATCCCATGTTGAAAGTCTTGAACACCAGGCGAAATGTACTGTAAGTTTTATTATTTAGTCATTATGGTGCCTGTTTCTGATCTTATTACCTTGCATGAATCGACAAGCAACAGCTAGAGCCGTAAAACACCATTTTCTTAGCCGTTCGTGCACGCAAAGGCACATTTGTTTATGACAGCTTCCTTTTATAATTTATTCACAATGTGGTATAAGCACGTCCTGTTGAATATGTTGTAGGAATCTGTCAGTAATGATGAGCCCAGTGAACATTTTGTTTTCCAAAAGTGCTGGTAAAAAATTAAACTCGATATAAGACGAGACACTGAACTTCTTGAAGGCTTGTAGGATCAATATGAGCCAAACAAACGCCCTTGACATCTTGCCAATACTGAATTAATTTTACTTCGTGTAAATTTTGCTTCGTGTAGAGCACTGACATTAACATTCAATTATCAAGGGCTAATCGGTCAAACGATATTGTAAATTTTTAAAATTTATGTTTGAAAATAAGAGTTTTTGCCTGATAAAGAGCACCTGCTGACTTCTGATCAATTGCCAGTTTCTTCACCAAATTACCTTTTGTCTGCTTGCCAACCCCAAGGAGAATATGGCATGAGATCAACTGTCGTTGATGGCTCTTTTTACATCCATTGCCTTAACTAGGTTATTGAACTTGGTTTTTTTCCTTTTGTAATATTCACGAGTTAATCCAGAACTGGTTTTGGTGAACTTCAGAACTTAGAGTTGTGTAAATATTGACTTTGTAAATATTATCAACCTTTTTGACAGTTCTTGTTATTAGAGTGAAACCAGAACTGTTAAAGACATGTTAAATTATTTAATATGTAGAGTGCAAAAAAAGAAAAGAAAGTATTAAAGAGAACGTAAAAAAAGAGACACTTGACTGTTAAGTAAGGGTTCCAATGAAAAGGAAAGATCTTTGTAGGAAAGAAGAAAATATGCCATGTACAGGAGTGTGAGCTTTGATTTTTCAGTACCTCTCCATGTACCTTTGGAGTAGAAACTGATTTGGGGTTAAGAATTGTTTCCTTATGGAACCGGTGGAGATATTCATTAGAAAAACAGGTGGAGCAATTCATTGGACAACTGGAATTGAAGGCCCAAACCAGAGCAAAGTTAAGCTTTATTTGACCACAAAAGATATGTGTTACTGTGCAAAATGTTACAATGTAAGTGTAACAACCAAGGAAATGATTCTAAGCCCTTGTTTTGAAGAAGTGGATGAGTGTTGTGTGCTTCTTAAAAGAGACCAAAACAAGTGTCATAGTCACTGGCCTTGACCACTTTTACAGTATAATGACTTTCCTTTCTTAAATATCATGTGCAATGTTAGCCCGTGGGCAGACTCACTTGTGTGAAGCTGGCAAGAAGAATAGGGCGAGGAAAAGTAAGCCTTCATGCAGGCTATACATTCTTTAATTCTTGGCATAATTTTCCAACCAATGTAGTCATGTAATTATTGGTTAAAACTGACAGGCTTTGACAGGCTACATTGTAAATAATTAACAAAACCCATGAACAGTGGACACAACCATTAACACATTAAACTTTGTAAGGAAAAAATGCATGCTACAGTGTATGTTAAAATGTTACAGTGTAACACCTGCATAAAAACCTGTGGATTAAGAACCTCCTAGCAGAAAATTTCCACTTTATTACCCAAAATACAAGAACCTGTTTTAGCCAAGCAAGGTGAAGCAGGTTGTTATATGTAAGTTATCATGGTAAACAATGTTTAATCTATGAGTAACTTTGATATTGAAAATTTAAGTATAACGAGAGAGAACATGCTTTAAAAAACTGTATTATATGTGGTAGTCACGTTTGTTAGAGTCATAGTGATACAATTGTGAATAAATACTGTATTTTTAAGGACCAAGTCAAGTTTATTTATTTTTCTCCTAATCAACAATCTGTTATCTCCCTCTTAAGAATTTAAAGAACCTAATTAAGAACCTAGTTCACCTGAACTGCCAATAAGTATCCCAAGTTACTAGAACCTATAAATTTGCCAGGCTTCAAAAAAGTAGGTTCTTATATGCAGGTGTTTACTGTATTTTTGCCGCTTGTCGCACATTGTGAGTTCATGAAGGTGGTCTGTTAATTGATTTTCCGTGGGTTTTGATGCAGTTTAGCGTATCTCTATATATGACTTTCTGACAATTTTTGTTTAGATTTACCTTCTCCTATTGGATAGTATCATTTACACCTTGAAAGAGGCAAAATATAATCAACTGCCCATGTGCAGGCTTACTTTTCCTATAATTGGTGGCTTTGTCAGCTTGCTCTGATGGCAAAGCTGCTAAAGTTTTCCCTGATCTCACACAAGTGAGCCTCCTCACAGACCAGGGCTGCCATTGGTATCGGGCAGCCGCCTTTTTTGGCAGGCAACTGTAGTGAAATCAGCCGGCTACTTAAAGTTTCTGAAGAAGTCAAATGTTACAAACATAGGAGCATTTGTTGGATAAATGACCGGTTCTTTTTTTTAAGAGACTGGCTACTTTTAAAGCTCAATGACAGCTGGGACTATTTGTGCATACATAGATTTTGGGATGTCCCTGCAAACAGACTTAACCAGACATTGAGTTTCGTCTGTGGTGCAGTGTAAATTCCTTACTGAGATTACAGATGTACATGTTCGTGACCTCAAGGTCATAATTTGATTTCTGTTGTTCAGTTTGTTATAGTCAGTGACGAAATGCTTATGTATGAGAGGTTCTAAACTCACTTGGTTTAAGCTAGGAAGTTTTTTGCTCAAACTGCGATCGTTCTCAAAACATAGTTCTTTGCCTGATTACACTCCCTGAATGTTTCTTCAGTCAGTCCTAAGTCACCTTTCAATAACTAAGTTGTTAATATTGTTAGTAGTAATTATATTCCCACTTGTACTGTTATATTACTGTTTTGTGTCTGCTTTTTACAGGTTTAACTGTATTGAAACAGTCAAATGCATTCAAAAAAATCTGAATTTTAGTTACCGGTATTTGATTTTTTATATTTCAGGAAAGAAGAGAAAACGTGACCGTGAGTTCAAAGGTCCTATTGCTGACAGGTACATTTGTACATTATTTTTGTCCCTGTTTTACACTAGATATTGGCTTGACTATCTGCCACTGAGTCCGATTTTTTATCATCCCTTATGGCCATCGTTGGTCAACAGCCAGCCAATAGGTTTTTTGGTGGACCTGTTCTTTAATTTTTTCTCCATTGAGGAAGAGAGAAAGGAGTAGACTTTTTGTATCTTTAGAGTATCTTTCATTTAAACCCTTTGGTGACTACTAGCAAGAGGCCAAAAAAATCATGTACATTTTCACCAAATCCTCTTTTTTGGACTTTTTTGTCTGATTAGCATGGGAATGGCTATAAAAATTAATTAGTTTTGCAACTTTAAGGGATATTTTACTTTTGCATTTGCATACACTGTAAGCCAAAATTTGGACTTGTTTTGTTCTTGTGAATCTGTTTAGATCTTTCTCTCTCACTCTCTTTTCTCCCTTTGCCTTTTGTATGATCAATTTTGTTGTACACTCTATCATCTTTCTTTTGCGTGGAATTGTGGCTGCATGGCTATAACCTTCTAACCTTGGAGAGGGACAAATTTAATCTGCAAGAAGTAGTAGGTGAATAGCAAAACTGGTAGTGGATTTTTCCCCAAAATATGTTACTTGGATTTTTCTGTGTTACTGATCTGTCTGGATTGGTTAAAATTTTTGAAAAAAACTGGTAGTGGTATTTAAGGTAGTGGTATTTAATTTACCTTTTCAGTCTTATAGAGTGTAGGTTATGATGTTTTCAAGGTTTCAAAAGGTTAAAATAACAGTAACAATATAGATAGTCATATAAACATAACAACTTTTTTTAATTTTCCAGACATGTTTCGACGGTACATCCGTCATCTTCAGTGTTACATATTTTGAAATCGCCGTTGAATTTAAAGTGTGCATGATCTTACAAAGTTCGTTACATTGCATTGTCAATATTGCGTACTAAAACAAAAAAAAATTAAATGAGTGACGCTTAGTTCTTACAGGTAGAGAGTCAGGTTAATGTGTTTCACCTGCTGGTTGAGATCGGGCTTCTCCCATTTTATAAACATGGGTTCCTTAAGCTTCACTTGGTGCTTAGTGGCTGCAGAGTCCAGGATCTCGAAGCAATCCGGTGAGCAGGATGCTCTACAAAACTCTGAACTCTGCAGATGTTTAAAAACGTTTCAAGGTTTCTGATCAACTTGTTTTGTATTCTGAATTCAGGTCATGTACAGATATTCCCTGCTGTATTCTATTTTTAGCCTACATTGTAGGCATGATTATTGTTGGTATTATAGGTAAGTTATGTAATGATGTAGCAATCCATATTATCCTTCTAACTTATCATAAGTTATGAGTCATGCCCTGCGTAGCATTAATAGTAATTATTGATATCAACATTTCGTTATTGTTTTTTTGCAAATCCACTCTATTTTTCTGTCTAATTGGTCCAATTTCTGAATGCAGGGCTCAAAAAACTTTAATTTTATCTTGCCTCTTTGACAATGAAGCAGTTTTTACTGAGTCTAAGTTGCCCGTGGCAATAATATTTGCTTGCTTATCTGAGTTTACATCAGAGTTAGAAAAAGATTGTTTACATTGCCAGTCTTGTTTATTGAGCAAGTATACAGTAAATTATTTAGATTTAACCCAGGTTGATTCTCAAGTGGGGGTCATTAAGAATAACTCATATAATATTTCATTAACAATTTTTCTTTATGGGCAATAAGCAGCCCACAGTTTGCATTTTCAAAGCTAGTGACTACAAGAAGTAAAAATAGGTGTACTTCATTTTTTTCTTTCAGCCTTTCAAGAAGGGGATCCAGACAGACTTCTTCTACCCACTGATTCTAATGGTATTATCAAACTAAAAATATACTGAATTTAATAGAGGCATGTAATACTCTGTAATCTCAACATTCATGCTGTGATCACTGATGATGATAGTCTACCCAGTCGTGATAATATGCCACTGTATATCAGCAACACAAATGACTTTGTAAAAACCATGCTAAATGGAAACCTCTCTCAGGAGCGTAATATTCAAAAAGCATGTGCACTAAAATTTAAAATCCTGAATTAGTTACATGCAGGTATTTATTGTGCACTCAGCTTTTAGGCGATTTAAGCTAATTATCTTCAGAGTATTCTACAAAAAGATACATGTCGTTCTTAATGAAGCAACAAAACATGATTAATTTAAGTCAATCGCAAACAGCAAAAAAATCAGCTGGAACAAAAATATGTAATGGACTTCTTCATATCTGAAACAAATAATTATTGTTAAATATTGCTTTGCAGGGAATACATGTGGAAAGGGTACTCAGCAGTAAGTATTAATTTTCATGTGCATTTTGCAGGGTTGTCAAAAGTAGCCAGCTGCCGGCGAAAATTGCCGCCTTCTTGGTTAGTGTCGGGCTGGCTACTCTGCTTGGCATTTCTTCGTCGATGGCATTTTTTAAATAAAATATCCCTGGACTGGCCGCTTACTTTGACAGCTCAGCCGTCTACTTCAAAACTTTCTGGCAACCCTGATTTTAACAATTTATTACCTGAAATGATTTTTTAATATTAGTTTTGCACATTTTGAAATAGTGCGTAGTTATTTATTAAACTAACTAATTCAGTTATTCAGAATTAATTAAATCAAGGACCCAAAGTTTTATGTAAATGGTACATATGCTTGTTTAAACGGGCTATGTCACATCTTCTGCTTTCTTTTGAAAATGCTAAAATGTGTCGTACACATCAAATGAATTGCAAAAATATTAGGACCTGATTTTGTTATTCAAGACTATATTTACGCATTGAGGCTGTTTCCCGTCATCTGTTGCAATGGATGGAAAGGATGAACTTAAAACCTTTTCAAGTTTTAACACTAACCTTGCTAAAATCACCAAAAAATGTTTAGCAATTAATGAATGAGGCAGAGTGTTATAATTAATGAATGAGGTCGAGGTGGATAACACCCTCCTCGATCTGCTTAATTCTTCATATCCTACGAAAGCCGAATTCATTAATTGCTTTATTATTCATTCAAAATAATTCCTAGTTTAAAAATGTAGCTAAAACATGCTTACCTGCAGCGATGTTAAGTTCATCTTCGATAGTGTACCTTTAGGTTTGTCCAGCTCCGCAAATATTCTTCAAATAGCAGATGTCGCCCTCCTAGTTGTCTTCTTGCTATTTTTGCCATGTTTTTATCTATTATTTTGCCTAGTTCCAGCTGTAGTTCTTACTCTTGAAACGAGTGAAATGTCCGCCATTTATTTTTCACAACCAAAACAACTCAATCTCATCCCCAGGTCTTCTTGGTAATGGTGCCTTAACCTGTAGCAGGCTGCATTTTGACGTCATTTCCTCGTTAAACACAAAATTCTTCCAAATTTGGTCATCAGTAACTGGTTATGGTGAATTATGCATGTCCTTTTAGCCAATCAGAATTGGGGAAATATTTTGAATGAATAATAAATTATGGTTAATACACTTTCATGAAATTTGTTTAATATCTTCCTCTGACTGAACATTAATTTATGTTTATGGGTTAAGGGTACTCAGTGAGTAATGACCTCAGCACAGAATTGAACTGAAATAGCAATATCTTCATGGCATACACCTGTAGCCCCTTTGATTAAAGACCAACTTGATGACATGACTGTTTTTCTCTATTTTTAGGGATAAAAAGTACCTTGTCTTCTTTGACATCAGTACATGTGTCACTAAAGGTGGAAACTTGGCACAGTTTGTTAGCATTCCTTCTTGTCCAACGCCCCAGGTGATTATGCCACCCATGACGGTTTGTTAATCATGCAGTGTAATGGTTCTCTTTTAAAGCGCTAACTACTTAAGGATAAAAACCGGGCCACTATGGGCTACAGGAGATGCTCTGCTGCTTTTAGCTGTTACAAGCTACAGTACATAACTCAGAATACAAGTGTGTACAATGTTCCTCATCCCTTTTGCCCTATCAGGAACAGTCTATTTATGTGTATAACTACATTGTCCTACAATGTAGGTAGTTAGTGCAGCACCTTGCAATAAAAAATTGTGGGATGATTAACCAACTTTAATCTACTGACAACTCTCTCTTAATGTAATGTCATTGCTGATTTTCAGTCATGTTGGTGTTCACAGTGCTCCAGCTTTAGCTGTTTTGTACTACAAGTTAAACAGACATGTATTTATGGCGAATGGGCAATTCCAGAAAATATCCATACCCTACCACGGACGGCTTCCCTGTTTTTTCCCCCCCTTGCCTTCGGAAATTCCAAAATGCGTTACCCCCCCATGCCCTCAGAATTCCATAATCGTGAACCCCCCCTCCCCTTCAGAATTTCCATTTTTTTGGAAGTACATTTTCAACTTAGCAACGCCTATATGAACAAACGAACATGACTTTATGCCTCCTCAAGGCTGTGATCTAGCGGCACCTGGCGACAAGCTTTCAGACTCTAACCTACCGCTACTAGACAGGCTGTGCAAACTCCTTTTTAGGTCCGAATTTGGCAATAAAAATAAACACCACTAACGGCAATTTTACTCCTCTTTGTTTTCTTGTGCTGTTTTGACGTTTACAAAGCAAAATAGCTCAAATTCAGACCGTTAAAATCTCTCGGTGGTCAAATATGCCGTCGAGGCATGTTGCGTCCTTTTATACGTCATGTAGTGTGCACGAAAAGTGTTCTAATCTGACAGGCGACGCCAGGCGTTCCTTGGAAGCCAGGGACTGGTGCGAGTTTTTTTACTGTTCATCGGACGGGAGTAACAAGAAACTTGCAAGCAGTAAGATACATATTCCGTTTTTTTTTCATGTGACAAGAAATTCATCAAGGTTAATGTAAAACCCACGTTTTACTGTTCACTTCTATAAGTTATGAGCGTAAACACGTGTCTGATCTATCGATGCTTGTCTTCTGCTTCCGCGGTCATACGTTCGTGGTTTATTTACGAACTACAAAAGTCCACAACAATAGCGTTTTCAAGGAACTCACTCTACACTTTCTACTCCAGAAATCCCACCTGTGGAATTCCGCCATGCCTTCGGATTTCCAATCGTAAATACACCCCATGCCCTCAGAATTCCATAATCGTGAACCCCCCCTCCCCTTCGGAAATCCTAAAAGCCGTCCGTGGTATGGTATGGATATTTTCTGGAATCGCCCAATAGGTTCAGCTTTATAATTACTGTTGTCAAGTTACCTCGACTCTCTATAAGCCCGGACACCTCACTAACAGATAGCTAGGGCTGGTCCCGAATGTTCCCGTCTTAAAGAAATTTGACTGTATGACTGATCTTATAAGCGGTTGCCTACCTGGGTGGTTAATTACTATGTTTGGGTCTCCTACAGCTGTATAATTAAGCTCCACACACACACACATAATGCAAATGAGGGGTTTGTCAGCAGGGAAGAAGCAACTGGAACAATGTACACTGTATGCCTTCTATAGCCTGCAAGCAGGCTCACCTGTGCAAATGTGGGAACATTTTGGTGGCAGAGCCACCATTCCTTGCAGAATGGCAGCCCCACTGCCAAAATTTTCCCCAAACTTGCAGAAGTGAGGCTGCTTGCTAGGCCTTCTAAAGAGTGCACAACTTGAAGATTCGAAGAATGTCAAAAAGCATAGTTTTTGACTTGAAACTGCATCATAAAAACAATATTTCTTGGAAATGATCATGTTACTCAAAGAGTGTTTGCAGACACATGTATTAAAAATTTTCTTCCATTTCTTGACTTTAGGTCTGTGTTTCTGAGTGTCCCACAGAAAATGAGTTAGGGACAAGTAGAAATGCACCTGACATGATTTGTAAAGAGGGAATAAGTGTGACAGAGGTAAGCTTGCTTTCCCCTTTTGTTGCACACTTAACTAAAAATAACAACATTAGCTTCATAGTTAACAATTATTTATATAGACTTTTTTATATAGTGCTATATCCATATGCTAAATAGTGCTTTACAGATTTCGTAAAAAAGAAAGAATAATAAATTAAAAACTTACATCTGAGTCAATAGTGATAAAAAGAACACCTGACGAATTCCATAAGTTACGATAAAAATTCTATTCAGAAATTCTAAGCTGCAATTTAAAACTAAACCCCTAAATTTTAAAACGATAACATCTGAAAGATGTATGATTTGATCTTCTATAGTTATTATATTACATTGGCTAAACCTAGTCCCTGTAAGTAAGTTTAAAAAGGTAAGTCTTATTGTTGGTTTTAAACTCTGATAATGAGGCATTTCTGCGAATACACCCTAGAAGTGAGTTTCACCAATGAGGTGCTGCAAAGGAGACCTTTGGCCATAAGTAACTAAATTAACTGATGGTACTTCAAGTAGGTTCCGTGTTCAGGATCGCAAGGTCCTGGTCGGTATGTATGGCTTAAGCAAATCTTTAATGTAGGCAGGTGCTAACCCGTTGAGTGCTTTATGGGTTATTAGTAATATTTTAAAAATAATACGTTGACTAATTGGAAGCCAGTGGAGTTGTTTTAAAATAGGCGTAATGTGGTCATACTTCGTGTAATAAGTTGACCATAGTCCCTATCATTAAATTCAGTGCTACACTGTAAGAAATGTTCATGGAAAGAGGCTTATAATTTTTAATTTTAGATGTTCTTACTTAAGGCAGAGCACAATCACTGTTTTCTATAGTTGTGCCATAATCTCGAGTACTGTGTGTTGTTGTAAGGCTGGGCCTGTAATATTTCTGATTGACGGACTTTTTTCTTGTGTTGACAGGACAACAAATTCACCATGGTGCAGCACGGAAAGTGTGCTCCGTACTATTTGAAATCACAGTCAGGTTTGTGATGTGTTTATTATCAAGAAGAGTTGTTCACATTGATAAAAAAGAAGCATACATGTAGAATAAGGCCCTACAGACTTACTGTTCATCTTGTTTTAAATTCTCCTTTTTTACATGTATAATATGCAATGCAACTTGGCAGGAGAATAAGGTAGTTTATCCGCAAATTGCCAAAACTACGTGTAAAGGTCGCTTTGTTCAAGCTTTATTCCAGAAACTCCTTCAACTGAGCTTTCCAAGAATGTAGTTTCGATAATTTCGATGAAAATTCATATGGAACAGTTCATCCTCGTGAAAAAAACGCTTTTGTTTGTTGGAAAATTTCCCCAAAATCTCCGTGCAAATGGTAAGTGCTTCTGGTGTGAATAACAATTCCTTATAATAATTATTATTGTTCATTAATAATTTTTTGTGATATGCGTTATGTTTTAGTGTTGTATCGATGCATACCAACGTTAGTGGGCAATTTGATTGATTCCGAAAATGGCTCAGTGATACAAAATCTCGCTGGAACCAACATGACAAAAGCTATCATTGAACAAGGAATAAAGTTAGTGTTATTTCATTGAGTTTAATTATTTTATCTCAACGGATTATTTTCTTGTCAAACTAATTATTTTTTACATTGCCGGCCAGTCTGGTGCCATATCATACCTTGTGTGGGCATGTTGTTTTCATTATCCTATACACAAACTTAACGGTCACCAATTAAAATTCAAGCGTCAAAGAATAATCATGCTTACTTGCTTAGCTTAAAGGCGATTATAACACTATTAATTAATTAATTAATTATTATTATATCTATTTCAGAAACATACAGCCGCAATTGGGGCTGTGCACTTTTGATATTGAGTAACTCTGCAAGGCAGAACTGACTATTGTTTGTTCTATATGCAGTGATTAGTGGTGATTGTTTATAACGAGGATTTATTTTGTTATTTTCACTTAGTGGCTTGAAGATTCTTATGAATTTGCAAAATTTTGGATTGAATGTAAGTTTTGCCTCAGTTTTTATAATTTGCACTTAAGCCCCGTCCACGTGGATCCATTTTTGCTTGAAAACGGAGAGTTTTTATTCCGCTTTGGTCTACCGTCCACACATATTTGGTCAAAACAGTCGCCGAAAATGAATCTTTTTAAAAACGCTCTCCGGACTGGAGATTTTTTTAATCTAGTCACAGTTAAACTGTAAAGGGACTTTATTTTCTATTTTTTTTATATTCTTTTTCAATGAGTCCTGTTGTGAACTACTTTGTTGTTTTGTTTTTATTTTTCTTTGCTCTTTACTGACCCTGTCACTAAAAAGGTGCTGTATGTGGCATTTTGTTTCTAGGTATTTGAGGACGTGAGAGCTGTATGGTACTGGCTCTTAATGTAGGTTGACATGATAGCATTTGTAACCTTTACATTTGACTGTATGATGATGACCATGTGAGTCCGAGGAGACTCGAAGGGATAATGATGAGACTGAGTGCGTGAACGACTGTAGAATTTCAAGCCATTATTTTTCACAGCAACATTTTCTTTTAGTGGCCAGCAAAAGGGGGATTAAAGGATTAAGAGTGGTGCGATTGTGATTATCTAAAGCATCAAAGTTGGTATTAAAACTCCTGCCCTTGATTTCAACCCTGCAGTTGTAGTCTAATGTCTTACTGCATTCCAGAATTTAAAAAAAATAGCTGGATAAAATTCTAATAATAATAAAAACATTGCATTTCTCTTTCCATGAACTTTTCTTGTAAACGTAGATCGTAATTATATTCACTTTGAGTGTTAACGTTTGTTTGTCTTTTCTTTAGTGGGATGATTCTTGTTATGATTCTGGCATTTATTTACATTCTCATCACACGGTAATGCACTGGAGTTTTAAACTACTCTGACTTGATGCCTTTTTTGTTGTGTTTCTTTTGATTTAACACCCATGAGCAAGCGCTTATGATGCTGTTGTCAGTAGTTAGGGAGCTCAAAACCTGGTTTTCATATGTCAGGAAAATCCCAGGCGATCGGGGATTTTACTTTTTGCTGACCGTCCCAGATTTTGCCTATATATCGGTCAATCACCAGAAGTCTGGCCCAGATTCTCCCGATTTTGAATTTGGCGGAAAATGGAAAGTGAACCAAAAATTGAAATTTGTACACAAATGTATGATAGGGAGACTGGAAATCATCGCCGACGTCCCCGACGGTACAAATTTGAGCTTTCATTTGTCGGGGATTATCGCCGGCCATTGCAGAAATCTGGGACGCGTCGGGAAAATGCAAACGTTCCCGATTCTCCAGATTTGTCGGTGACCGTCCCAGGCGATCAGGAATATCTGCGATGCGAGGACGACGACGACGGTGGCCAACAGTTCTCTTAAAAAGTGAATTCACGCTGTTTAAAATTCATCCTATTATTGCCTGTCAATCAATTTGTGAAATTGTTGGTGACTTTTCCTGAACCCAGAAGATAGGAATTAGTAAATCGTTTTCTTGTTTTCACGTCCACGAGATGTGGTCGTGCAACGACGGCAGAGAAATGTACAAAAAAGTGAATTCACGTTTAATACACGTGCACGTGCAAAGTCGTTGTTTTGCTTAACAATAAATTGCTTTTTTGCCATTCGCGTTGCCGTCGTCGTCTTTGCTAAGCTCATTTCATAAACAAACTGCTGTCTGGTCCCAGTCTGTCTGAGCTCAGTTGCTGGGTTCAAAGCCCATCCTGACCAATCACCAATGTTTTGGATTATCCTTGTAAGATCATGCTACTGTGTTTAAATTCTTGTCGCAGTTCATGATCAGGTCATTCAAATTAACACACCCATTTCCTTTTGACAACAATCTCTGTCTGCTCGGCTGAGGCGCTCATGCGGGCTCCCAGTGATGCCAAAAGTCGACCTCCATGCGCTTCCAAGCTTTGCGATCCTATGCCACCTACCCTTCCTAAACAACAGCAACCCTATTTAGACCCCAGATCCTTTTTAAAGCCAGGACACTGAGTCCGAGTTTACTCTAACCAAAGGAGAGTGAATACTCTCGCCTTCCAATATTACAGCCGGTGTTGAAACCCTACCTCCAAAGTTATACAGTTTACTCTATTTTGCTCCCTCCCTCCCATCCCTGATATTTTATTAGTTTCCCTCCTCCGAGCTTCACAAGGTTCCGCGATAAACGTGTTTCTAGTTCAGTCAGTTTAAGTGAAACCCGGGCCCTTTCCGTTTATCAAAAAATTCCACTTGCCCAATGGAGCGGACATTTCGATCCGACCGACCAAATTGACCAGACCGGTCAAAGTGGACCACCGGTAAAGCTGTTCCCGAATATTCCGGTTGGACGAGACCGAAATGGTCCGTTTCATTTGATGTGGCCTCGTTTGGGCCCGAAAAGACCGGGATATAGGTTTATTATTATTATTAAAGCACTCGGACTATGAATCCCTTTTACATTTCACTGTTAACGTTTTTAAACTCTTTATTAGATCCTAGTCTAGGGCAAAACGCGGAAAGGTGATTAACATATACTTAATTTAACCTTATCTTCTGCTTTGCAGCTGGGTAACAGGACCTCTTGTGTGGATCACCATCATACTCGTCTTTGCGTTAATTATTTATGGTAAACCGTCCATTTTAATGTTACAATTTGGTTCCGCTAAAATGGTTTAATGTTGGGAGATGCGCTGGGGTCATGTTGAAAAGCTACAAAAGGTGCCAGTGACACATTGTGGCGACAAGTGTCTCTTATGCGCTTCTACTTTTTAATTTGTACAACACACGTTTCTGGCCAATATTGTCCCACAACCTTTTTGTCCTTAAGAATTTTGCTTGCCCAGGACATTTGGAACCTTGAATTAGTTTTCCTTTTTTTATATAGTTTGAAGGCAACTTACTTTGGCCTTTGTCGTACAGATGGGCAAGAGAGCGTGAAGCCCCCCCCTTTGAAACACACTCGTTATACGGATCAACTCTCTTTTACAGATGGTTCTTTGGTCCCCAGAATGCCAAAAAGAAGTTAATACATTCCTTTCCTCTGTGGTATAAAACACCTCTGTAATAAGAACACTTGGCTGTGTCGTTTTGGTTTGTTTCAAGGGGATTTAACTGTTCTTGTCCCGCACAACTCGACGGGACTTTTTTCGAGAACCTGCCACAAACCTTTGCAATTACAACAATTTGATTCGGTTGCAATTCATGAAGCATGTGACACAAACAAAATGAATTATAAGCCGTTGTGTGCGTGGTTCTGAAACAGGTTCCTGCGATGGAGTCAATTGTTCCTTGGATTAAAAAACTGTTTGTATTCTACAGTGCAATATAGTTAGTGATTTTATATGATATTACTATATCTGTCCACAGGCATGTACTTTTGCTACAGCAAGTACAAATTCCTTAACGACACGGGTACAAGTGAAGATTTTGAACTCAAATTTACGCTTGACCTGGACACATACACACAATCCAAGGAGACTTGGCTTGGTTTGGGTAAGAGACCATTTTTAAACGCCATGTTCTAAAACCCGGAACAATCCGGAACAACCCCGAAACACCCCAAAAATCTGGTTATAGGTAAAATGAAAAACACAAAAAGAAACCTTAACCCTAATCTGTAAAGTACTAAATGTTCTTTCTGTTTTATTCAGTTGACATATTTCTGAGTGTTCCGGGGTCTAGTACATGCGATCTTTAACACCATTTGTTTAAGGTGATTTTTAGTGACGGCTTGTTTTAGGAAATTCGGCGTTTGTGAGGACCGTATTAATCTTTGTTGTTGTTTGAATACAGGTATTTTCCTGACTGTTTTGTTGGTTATTCTTCTGCTAATTGTATTGGTGTTACGCAAGAGAATCCAGATTGCTATATCAATGATAAAGGAAGCTAGCAAGTATGTTAATTAACCCTTTAAGCCCCAAGATCCAAATAAAAATTCTCCTGACCGATTTCCATACATTTCTTTTAAGAATAGTTGAGAGAATTTGGTTTAATATCAAAGTGTTTTCCCTTTAGTCATAAATTTAGTAATTCTCATAACCTTTACTCTTGTTGATCTGCTGATGTTGTTAGGAGAAAATTGATGTTGGACACTCTTGGGACCTAAAGGTTTAAAAACATTTATGTTGAGAAATGATGTGATCAACATTTCACGAGCATGGGATATAGAAAAAATCTGGGTCCGACGGGAATTGAACCTATGACCTTCCGTACACCGGTCGGATGGTCTAACGAAGGCTCGTGGTGAGCGGGGCCATATACAAGTTGCATGTATGACATGCGTTCTGCGTATTGCTAGGATCAGCAATGTCGAAGTCTTCATTTTTGTGATCAGATAAATAAAGAATGATGGTAAATTTTAAGCTTGGTGGAGCACGGGACAAAAAAAAATCTGATTCCCCGACAGGTTGTATGTTATACTTATAGATTATGAGTCACAACAAACGCCACCGAATCGTAGTCAATAGCTACCGGTACCGTACCAATGACTTATTGACAGGCTCGAGCAAAACTGGCAACGACAGAATGACTGGACAACCTACAATGTGACTAACAATAAACGACTGGTAAAATGCGGCAACAGACGGATCGAAACGCGCCAATGAGATAACGACTTAACAATGACATCGCGTCTTAATTGACCAATCAGGTCAATAACCGGAGTAAATTAGCATCAACTGACAAGATACAACTCACTTTGACTCTGAAGATGACTACCGCACAGACTGTCGAAACGTCAGTCACTGTCAACAAAATTTCTATTCAGGACTACGCTCACCCGGACGATCATGCTCAAATACTCTAATGATACGATATCTGAAAGACAATTTAGAGAACCTCTGTGTGGCCATCCATGTTAATACGATCCATACTTTGATCGTAAATATAACTATGGTATGTCCTTTCAAACTTCTCTTTTTGTTTAGTGAATTTCCATGTTGTTCTATGCAACGTTGTCTTACTTAGTTGATGGTCTGCGTCTGGTCAGGCAGATTAATTGTTTTTTTTCAACTGTTTATATTTCAAGGGCTGTTGCGGCAATCAAGACTTCCTTGTTTTTTCCTCTTGTGCCGTGGCTGTTGCAGCTTGCTCTGTTTGCTTGGTTCGTGGCTGTGGCCGTGTATCCTTAGTAACTAATAATTAACCGTATCTGTTTTGTAAAATGATAATGTGAGAACCAAGGGAAGGTGCATGTCGTATGTTTTCATATTCAAGTGTGATTCCCTGGTGGGTTCTCATTCACTGCGAGGCAGTTTATGTTCGTAAAATAAACCTCTTGCCAGCCAAGCTTTCACGAGATTGTCGTGGGACAATATCGTTCCTCTGCCTTTCATGTCAAGACCTGGTACGGACTTCGTAGACGGTTTTAAAATATGACATCTACCCTCGTGGGTTCTCTCTTAGTGCGTAACAGTTTGTGGTCCTGTAATAATTAAAAATTCTTATCAGCCAAGCTTTCTCGAGATTGTCGTAGGACCGTATCGTTCCTCTCCCTTTCATTTCAAGACCTGGTGCGGACCTCGCGGGCGGTTGGTACGATATAAATCAGAGTTATCCTTGACTTTTGCCTAGTTACCTTGTGACCAATGGTACAGCGAAATATAAGGTCATCGATGTCCCAGAGAGCGGTGATCCGTACAACCTAACAAATTCTTCAGACTGTGTCACAGAGGTGAGCAAGAAACGTTTATTGTCTTATTGTGAGGGCTAACTAAAGTGCTTCTTGTACCTTTGACGTTTACTTAAAAATGTTCTCTCTATAGCTGTTCTTTTCTCCAATAATTGTTGAGGTTTTAGTTATTTGCATAAGCAGCGGAAGGGAGACGTGATACACGCAGAAGATGAGACTGTAGGCGGCCGTTGGGTTCATTTCGTTTGACATCAATCATGTCCAATACTTTCGCACTGTCACGGACCGTTAAGTACGTATTACGTGCAGTTGACGAATCACACTCCCCTCAAACTGTCCACATTGCTAACATCTTAGTTAATGCGAAATTAATCTCATGATTAGATCATGGTACAGTCTTTTACGAGTAGTATAGTAGGAAACGGTTGGACCCCTTTTTTGCCGAGGAATCTCATTAACTTGCGGAGGAAAGCATGAACGCCAATGAAGTTAAATCCTTCTGTCTTGATCCATGAATAAAATGCAATGGAATCTAACAGGGCACTTCCGAGTTCCAAAAACTCTCGCTTTCAAAATGAGGCTAGGTGCACAACCTTTCTAGTGAAAATAAGTTTTATTTGCATGAGAATGAAAAATGATTTCCATATCAAAGGCTGAGCACCTACCCTCGTTTTGAAACGGAGGCCCGAAGGAACTCGGAAATGACCTATTATGTTGTGGTGGAAGAGGAGGGAACACAATAGAAATGTGGTGATTGTGGTGGTGGTGGAGGGAAAACAAAAAGTTTGATGAGGAGCGAAATAATTGAATTGAGGAGGAGTAGGAAAGGGAGAAAGGTAAGTAAAACATGGTGCTTTAAAGTTGGTCAAAAATACTCCACTGCGCGTCGTATTTTCAACTCTCTTCTCGGTGTTTCATCTGGTGCTGAAACACTGCGTCTCATGCTTGATATATTACGTAACACTTATTTACTGCATTCTATGCCTTTATAGACATTTGAAAAAACCTACCCGGACACCTCTGCAAGCTGCGTGTTAGCTGGGTTTCAGGAAAATGTGTAAGTTGAATTTAGCTGGTATCTCGATCAGAAGCAATTTTGTGTATTAATAGTGGCCAAAACGTCATTGAAATGTAATCAAACTTTGATTTGTTGCTCGAGTTGTTGGTTTGCCGGGCCACACTGGCCTGTGGGCTATAATTACTGCCGAGGATAAATAAAATAATTTTTTATTTACCTGCTTCAACAAAGTTGAGACAGTAGGGAAACGGCTTCAACGTCTTGAGAACCATAGAAAAGTGGAGATCTTCTGAGACAGTTAAACTGAGTTTATAATACGTAAGTCCTTTTCAGCATACCACCATCATCAATATCGACTGAGAGAACAAGCCGCTTGCACGATGACATCTTTTTACTAGTAGACTAGAATTCATTCGTCACTGATCTAGTTGCTCTACCACTGAGCTACAGGAAACACTTGGGAGTTAAGGCCACTAAACTGCAATCGTCGACAAAGTGGTTGAGATATTGTACTCAAATAGAGTGACTTCAGAGAACAAAAGAATCCACAGCCCATTAAAAGTTGGGGTGTTTGTTGTTTTCTATAGGTAGCTCGAACAGCGGCACAACATTGCATGGAGGGGATGGGGGAGGAAAAGCTTTATTTTCACCTTTTGAAGGCACTAAAACGTCATAAAGCCCCTTTAGGGCAAAGTGTCTCAACTCATTTTGTCGCCGACTGTAGGTTCATGGGACAATATGTGCTTATGTGCAATATGTGCCAGTAATAGAGATGTGAAGGTGAATTTTTAGCCTAGTGGATACATGAGAAAGATGAGGTTTCAATCAGTGACTCAGGCGGCGGGATAGAAACAAATCCGACTATGTTGTGACTGTTTGACCGATGCTAGAGTGTTCAGATCTTCAGTGGACAGTTCACTGCCTGGTGCTGTGTTGAATGTTTTGTTGCTTTTCTTTTCAGACACTTGTTTCGCATGCAAATTTTTCACTTTTTTGGCTGGTTGTGGATTATGAACTTTATCATTGCTCTTGGTCAGTGCGTGTTGGCCGGAGCCTTCGCGTCTTGGTACTTTGCTTACCACAAACCTGATGTAAGCTTTAGATTTGTTTTTTACATTTACTTGTTTTAAATCTTTTCTGCCTGCGTTGGGCTATTGACGCCGTTTTAGTAGTTTGCGTGTTGGTTATAATATCGGAGGTTCTATCAGATTTAGCTCTGTTGCGGTAAGCAAACTTTCTGGCAACTTGTCGTCTGTGGCAAGACAAGTGTCATGGCACCTCATGATTCTGTCACACCCCTTAAATATTTTTTTCCGGACGTACCAACACCTTCATTCCTACATGAAAACTCTATTAGTACTTTTTGTCATTAACGTTACTTTGCAGAAGATTGAAACTAAATAAGTGAAACGTATTCGCTGTCCATTACCTCGCGGTTTTGAAGTTAATTATAGGATCGTCTTATAAAAATAGCCCACCGTTAACTCACTCTATACTGGGGTCGGAAAGGACCAACACTGTTTTTCTTTACTACATTTCACTCGCCTTGCAAATCTACCGGTGACACCTTTCGGAGAAGTGTATGTTTTTTATCTGGGAAGGAAAATATGAGAAATAATTAACTTTTCAACCTTTTTTATAGGATGTTCCTGCGTTACCAATTATTTCGTCCTTCTGGCGTACTTTAAGGTAAGCTTTTTTCTTTAACACAAGCTTTTATAACCTTTAGCTGTTGGTCTCTCGTCTTTTCTTCCTGTATCCTATACTTGCAAAAAGATGGAAATTCAACGGAAAAAACATTTTTCTGGAACAGTTTAATAAATCCTTTATCAAGCACCTGTGCTAATTCATCTTTAGTTCCACACACTTATTAGCGGGCAACGCATGTTTTTTTTTTCTGCATGTGTTTAATAGTTATTTATTAATAAACTAGTGCTCATTATTTTTTAGATACCACACTGGATCTTTGGCGTTTGGAGCAGCCATCATTGCAATCGTGCAGTTTATCAGAGCTGTTTTGGAGTACATTGATACGAAACTTAAAGGTAAAAATCTGCCACTTGCTTACCCGACCCAAATGTTAAGACACTCGCCAACGCGTTGGTTAGAATGCCTCTGCTTTTTTGTTGCCTACAGACTTGTCTCAGAGTAACTTCACAGGGTTTGCACAGTTTTGAAAAGCCCTTGAATTTTAGGGGAAGGCCTTAAAAAGTAGGAAAATCTTTATTACAAAACCTCAATTAAAATCCTATTTACATTCAACCTGCTGTTACAGAAAATCTAATTAATTCATCAAGACACTATCTACAATTCCTATATATAATAAGTGAAGAAAGAAACTATTCATTTTCAAATTCTAAAAAGTAGAAGTAACTTAACCTTACGCAAAAGAAGAGGAAATAGATATAATTAATAATAAAAATTCAAAATTCTATAAAATTAAGAATTCCATTATGCAGAGATATTAAGATTAAACAATCGAATTTTACTAATGACGGCTAAACCAGTGTCCATAAAAAGCCCTAAGTATAAAAGCATATAGACACGTATTTCAGATATCCGCACTAGCGACATTTATTTTACAGTCTAATGATTGCTCTATCTTGCTACGAAACGGCGTTCGCGAACCTCAGACGCATGCATGTACCGATCTTAAGAAGTCCTTGAATTCCATTTTTCCTTGAAAAGTCCTTAAATTTCTGTGCAAGTCCTTGAAAAGTCCTTGAATTTTCTTCAACTTTGAATGTAGTGCCCTGGAAAGAATTTTTTGTTGCTTTTTGGTTGTCCAAGACGGAATATTAATCACAGCTCAGAGAATTTAAAGGTTTTTTACATAAACTACTCTATGTTTTATGCAATAATTAACTGTCAGTTAAAGACAAGTGAACTAAAAAATGTAGAGAAGTTGGTGAAGCAAACAGTTTAAGCCTTAGTCTTATTAGAGTAGACTAGGAATGTGCATTTTTGTACAATCTGTGAAATTAACTTCCTAGCAGGTGGTCCTTGAAAATCTAATTTGGTCCTTGAAAAATGGTTGCAATTTCTTGTATGAACCCTGCTTCACTGTTGCTTTGCTTTACTGTAAAAGATCCTTTTACAATTTCAATCAACCAGCATCCAAACTCAACTGCAAGTGACATGCTCACATTATCTTGTGACATGCTTGAGTTTGTTTTTTTTTTTCTCTTTAATGGATACTACCCAGAGTAGTTGCCTAATTCTAGATTACAAATTTCCGACCGCCCCTATTCATGGCTCGATACATGAAGGTAGGTTATTAGGGACAACGCGACGGCAACGAGAACGTCGCTTAAAAAGCGTATTTGCGTTATTTCAGTCTTTATCGCAATTACTCCCACCCACTTACTTTGTCAAATGTAGCCGAACCCTCCAGGAGTTGAATTCCAAGGGACCATTCTATGGTGGGGGGCAAGTTGGTGCCCCTATCACACAAACGTCTGTAAAATTCGCGACTTTGTGCAGCAATATCTTTGCTCTCTTTCCAGCAATGGCGATCAATATACGCTTACTGTGCTTTATCGATAGGTGATCTGTTCTGTTCTACTATCGCAACTGTTATGTTGCCGTCGTAAAACTGAGCTTTGTGGTGCCTTTAGGTTCATGTGTTTTGTTTTTCATGTGTAAGCACTTCAAATCTCAACCACATTTTATTTATATTTTATTATTGCTTCCTCGATTTTTTATTTTCAGAGTATGGCCAGGATAACAAGGTTGTCAACTTTATTTTGTGGTAAGTGGTCCCTTAGCAACAATATGTTGGTAAATCATGTGCACTTTGAATTACTTTTGATAAGAATCCAACCCCCTCATTCATTTACATTGTTGACTACAGACTTGTGTTTCTAACTGTCCTAAATCATTTGTTTTTCAGCTGTTGCAAGTGTTGTTTCTGGTGTTTAGAGAAGTGCCTCAAATTCCTGAACAAGAATGCCTACATTATAGTAAGAATCTAAACATTTTTGTTGCGTAGTCCCTAGGTCTTCATTCTTCCGTGCGGCCTATGCTTTAAGGGGCATTGACCGGGAGGACCTGGGAAGACGCTGTTCAGAGATTAGGCTAACAGTTTTAGTGGGCAGGACTTAAGTAAACCGACACCGTAATATCTATCACAAGCCCCCTCCTCTCCATTTATGCCACTCTTCACCCCCTCCTCCCCCGCCCCGCTAAAACACTCACACTCGTTTGATCATTCATATCTAGTGAGCACCCTCTCATTAATTATTTCCCTCAATCGCCACGAATTTATTTGATACTCTTGACAGTCACTTAATGTAACAAAATTCTTTGAAAACCACTGTATTTATTTTTAATCTTTATCTACAGATTGCACAAACTCAAAGTTTTTTAGTAATATATTTGGTGCCTACGTAGTAATGTTTATATCCATCACGGAGTTCACTAGCCTTCCGCGCAGACGTTCTTTTGGCTCGTCACACAGGAACACGTGGCGAATCCCTAAGAACGTCTGCGTGGGAGGCTAGTAGTTTGCCAGCAACATTGTTTATGAAATAAGATGAAGTACACAGGGTTGCTTCTCCAGTTTTGAATTAAGTAACCCCCTTCCACCTAAAAAATGGCTGCAAAAAATAATCCCCCGAGGGCATATCAGAAAGATTACGTCAAATTCATAGTAAAACCCCAGCGCATTACATAAGTCCACACCGCTACACAACAGTTTAGGTTAACTGGTTAACGACAACCTATGGAGAAGCCGCAACAAAGCAGCCTGCCAGTTTTTCTTTAGATTAAATCCATTCACAATGATGCGATAGGGAACCTCCTAGTTTTTTTAACTGTCTTTGAAAGTCAAGGAAGTCAAGGCTGTATGATTGATAAAGTGTGTAAGGAAAATGATCAGTTCCCATTCACGCCACTTGTCTTTTGTGTGCTAGTTCTCAGTGTAGTCCACAACTGGTAAACGTTCATAGCTTTATTTTGAAAATTTAAGTTTTTGTTACTGAATTTGAACATTTCAGATTGCTATCCATGGCAAGAATTTTTGCAGTGCCTCAAAGGAGGCATTCACGCTCCTGCTGGAAAATTTCCTCAGGTGAGAGAAATAACGAGTGAAGCCAAAACAATGATACTTGTCCAGGTAGAACTGTCCGGGTGACTAACAAGTGATATCACAGCTTTTCACACACAACTGGGAGCCATGCCAAGCCGATCATGCAGCCTGACCTTTACTATCAAAACCACAAATCAGTAGTATAATAACACAAAAAGCCGTGTGTGAGAAAAACCGTTTGCGCTTCATTCGTCTCTCAGACAGCGGAAACCGCACTTACCAGGATTGGTTGGGAAAACAATAAAGAAATAAAGTAAACGGTGGACCTTGGTCTTAAATTCAAAAGAGCTGCGACGTACTGGCCATTTCTTGAGACTCTGTCCGTGAGACTGTCGGTGTTATCTCGAATTGCACTGTGGGACTGTTCCGGGACCCTAGCGCTTCCATATGGTATTGGCTAACATGAGTATTAATAATTAATTGCCCTCCCCCCCCTCCCCAAACAGTCTCGCACCAGGCTATTCATTACAGCACCAGCCTAGTCCCAAGTGTGGCCTCAAATTGGCGTATAGGGGTCCACTGAAATGAGGTTTTAAAGAACTGCGACATTATTTCGAATAACAGGTAAGGCATGAATCAATTGGCTTGGCCCAAGTTGTTGTGCAGAGGGTGAGTATTTTTGCCCAGGGGATAACGCTCTTATCTTATTCCGCGGCTACCATTATCCATGTAATATTATACCCGATATAAAAGTGTGCGTGGCGAGAAACCGCGTTCCGCAAGCGCACGTGTCTCGCTCTTCGCTCTGTCGTAGCTGTCTTCTCTGCTTTGCTAATTAAGAAACGGTGCAGATAAGAACGATAGCAACAACGGCAACAAACATGTTAGAATGCAAAAAAGGTGCTAACTTTTCTATTGTCTGTACTTACTTCTGATTGGCTTAAACAGCAAAAGTTAACAAAACTTCATAAAGAAGTACATATATTCATCCTTATTTTCCAACCATCTTCCATATAACAAAATCTGGTCTCAGTTTGAATAACAAAGAAATCCTATGTGGGGAACATGTAAAATTGTAAATTTTTCTTGGCTATTGTTTTCAACTCTTGTGATTAGTCAGAATCTTTTAACACAAAAAAACACCCATTCAAAGTGGACTATAAATGCATTTTATTGCGTAAACGGCCTTCATGTAGCTTTATGCATTCTCTGTGTAAAAATGAGAACATTCCTATGTGAGGAAAGCACCGTTGCAGCATAACAAAAGAAATTGCTATCCACCTTACCCGGATCATTACTTAACACCTGAAATGCAGGCCGTTGAAAGGAAGCATCAACTGAAACAAAGCTTTCAAAATAATGGCAAAATTGAGGCTAGGTTGTTTGTTTTTTGTATACTGAAGATTTCATCTCATCGACAGGGTTGCAGCTGTCAACAGTGTAACGTCATTTTTGTTGTTCATGGGAAAATTGTTGGTCGTTGGAATTGTTGGTAGGTGAATTGATCTTGCTCAGGAATGAAATCAGTCTATTATATAAAAAACATTGAAATACCAGTTGAGCGTTTGCGCGAAAACCTTCACAGGTGAAAAGATCACCGTTGCTAAGGTGACATATTAAATCGCGCCTTTTTTGGCAAACAGTTATTAAAGTGAAATGGTTTGGTATTTCATCGGTGTCTATATAACAGATAGAACATTGCATGACTCCTTGGAGATACGAAATTTCTCTTCTCGTGTTGCAAAATATTTCACTCGTTCACTGCGCTCACTTGTGAAATATTGCTTAACGCTCGAAGAGAAATTTCGGGTCTCAGCGCGGCCATGTAACGTCTGAAAATTAAGTCAAGTTCTGCAGGTTGATGACACATCGTGGCTCGCACCAAAGTATTTTTTTTTTTCGGTAACTCGACAAGGCGTGGGTATACGCAAGGCAGATTAAGGAGTTTAAACCCATCCAACAAAGTGTTAATATAGTCACTTTATAGTTTATACCTAGATTCCATGTTGCCTTGCAGACAAACAAACTAAATACAAAGCTTTTATCAGCGGTGTTGATATGGAAACGGGTAGTTTCTTGGTGTTGTTGGCGGGTGTAATCACCAAATGACGTCATACAAAAGATTGAAAAGATACGTAACAATACACAGACCACAACACACAGGCGAACCACTAATGGTTTCCGCAACATCAAGAAACGCTCTGGAAACGAAGTAATGGAGGGTCATTCTGTTTGCAATCATGATACCTTTATAAACCGGGAATACTTGACCACAGGCGCAACTGCAACAAAAGAAAATTAGTTATTCTGTACATAGTTTTTAACCTCATTAGACGAAAAAACACAGTATGTGGGCTCACCGACGTTATTACCGCGGCAGGATTACCTCCGTCGCAAGAGCGCTTGACTGTAGAGCAAGAGGTCGCGGGTTCGACTCCCGGAGCCTGACCAGTATACAGGGGCTTAAAATAACTGAAAAATGAAGGTTCTTCCTTTGCCCTGCAAACGGCTAGACCTTCGCATGGCTCAGATGACTACTTCCGTGCGAAAAACATTCACTCTCAAATATGAAGTACTTGTTTTTCCACCGGGCTGATCTTTTGCGGGAGTCGACGGGCCTTTCCATGACTCACTACTGCGGACTATTACTTTGTCATTCTTTCGGACTGCAAGCTACAGGTGTAATAGGCAGAGTGAGCTTCCCATTAAACTTATAGTGAACCTCTGCCTTCCAAATTCTTTACTTTTCATTTTGAGTTAAAATTGATGATGTTGATGTGAATTTTTCTCTATAAATGTTGCTCCTCTTGGTGCTGGTTCTCACTGCAGGTGTGGCGAGTTTCTTTTGGTTTGACAAACTCAGCAGTGATGACCCCACCTCACTTCGTTATGACGTCGTACCAACGATAGTAAGTATTTATAACAAAATTAAAGCTCGTTTTCTGATTGGTCAATTACCCATTTAATATTTGCCCTTTAGTAGAAATGAGTACAATTTTTCGCCTGCTTGTTCAAAGAGCAGAAAGGAGTTAAAGTATTACAGTTTTCTCCTCAGTGTTGGTTCTTTTTACCTGCCGTACTGTAAACATATAGCGAGGCCTGAGTGTTTATTAGAATCCTACTCTTCTCTATTTTTTTGATATAAAATTTTTCTTTTTGCTTCTCTGGATTTACGCTAAGGTTCGCCACCATACCTAAACCCAACACCAATCGTGGACCATCCACTGAAATTATTTCCCAAACGTCGCGCTCAACAAAACGTGTTAGATGATGAAGTTTACTTGTTTGGATTGATGTTGTGTGAGATTCCACATCGTTTGTTGTGTATGAACCTAATAAGTTCCTTTTTATTCAGTAAATCTTGATAAAACGAACTCCTTTTTTTTTCTTCTTAGATAATGGTGGTATTTGCGTATGCAGTTTCCGTTTTGTTCTTTGATGTGTACGATATGGCCATTGACACCATATTCCTGTGCTTCTGTGAGTATGGCGCAGCCCTCTTTCTTCTTCATTGTTTTCCGAATTGGCTTCGAACGCGAAAAAAAAAACGCCCTCAAGAAACTTTGGTCACTGATGCTCAATTACTCACTATTTGCGAGAATTCGAGTTTTCTGTTTTTCTTTTTCTGCTAGAATTATCCCATCTAAGGTAATTATATTTTTAAAAACATATGCCAAAAACACACGAGATTCTAAACGGTAAAAGAAAAGGTCACCCGAACTTTCCTTGTCCCGGGCCTAAAATTGTACAATGGGTTAAAAAAACTTTGCGAATTATTTGAGGCAACATGGTTTTCAAACTGACTGGAGAAAAGCAAAGTCAAACCAAAGCTAAGATAACTGTCGAAACAGAAGCGCTTTTGACATTCGTTGCCATGTGTCTTTTTTTTTTTCAGTGGAGGATCTGGAGATGAATGACGGCAGCGCTGAGAAACCCTACTACATGAGCGACTCGCTCAAGAAAATTCTACACCTCCAGAACCGCGAACAGCCTGATGGGACTGAAGCGGGTGGAGAAAAATAGGCATAGGGACTGGTCACTACCACTCACCGCTGACCGCACTTCTATGTTCATTGTTATTAGTTTCACTAAACAGCACAATTTCTATTTGCAATTTCTATTCAGAATTTAGTACTATCGCTTCATAATATAAAATAAAATGAAACACATGGACATACTTATGCAAAGCAATAAACATGGGCAGGGTTATGTAACAAATAGCAATCGAACTTTTGTGGGTTACTCTGAATTCCAAAGTGTTTAGTTAGGTGTATTGTAGGGAAAGAGAAAATGGGTTGGCACCTCGGACGTACGGTATTTCAGTGAGGTCAGAATCTTGTCGTAGAGTGCTGTTAGCGAGAGGTTCGATGTATTTGATGTAACTTGCTATAACTGCATTCACTTCATTTTTCTCTTAATCCGGTCAGGGCTAGCCTGCGAAGCGCAGACGCATTTCCGGTCGTCGCTTCTCTCCCTCCGAAAAATATCGCAGACGCTATTTTTCGGAGGTAGAGAAGCGACGACCGGAAATGCGTCTGCGCTTCGCAGGCTAGGTCAGGGCTAGAAGAAGTCCAAAGTCAAAAAGTTACAAACAAACAAATAAACAGACAAATACAAGCATAACTTAAAAATACTGGTTTACAAATACCATTTCTTTTACAGACGCGATAATTTAAAGAAATTACATGAATAAAGGTCAGTCTTAAAAGTTTGTAATAAATGTGTGAAAACTATTTAATGTGTTAGTCAAAATCACATGTTACTCGAGCGGACAAAAGCCGGTCTCACCCAAGTTCTGTTTGGAACTTGCTTCTGTCCAAAATGCTGAAAAAGTAAACAATTGAATTCGCTCTATTGTAGTCTGTTTTTTGCTAGAAATACAATCGAGCACGCGTCTTGTAATTGGTTTGGCACAAGACCAATTGTCTTGGCCGACGATGTAGTTTGTGTTTTGCGTCTTTCATTATGGGTTTCTACTATATAAAAACGTCTATTGACATAAAACTCAAGCCAATTTTCTGATAAGCTTATATGTAGTATGTTGAACTGCAATGCTGGTAAAATTTTGTTCAAGAGCAGACGAAAGCTGTCACACTTCGACCAACTTATCGCAGGCTCATTCCCGCACATCGACTGCCTGGTTATCGAGCCTACGTCATGTTAGCCTGCATAACAGGCGCTTTATGAGCTAAGCGAGGCGAACGCGGCATTTTGCGCGAAAAGAGAGACGAGGGGAGAACAAAAATAAAGCGCCTGTTACCAGTCCATTGTTCTGGCTCTTCCGCCCACCCACGCCCGCAAGTATTGACTGACGGCGGTGATGTCAAAAGGACCAATCAAAACACGATCCATTACTCAAAAATTGTCACCTTTCTGGCTACCAAACATTCTCGTTCCAGAGCTTCGATCCTTTCGGTCAGCGTCGGGGACCAAAAAGTTAGTAGATCTGGCTTTTTCCTAACCTAGTTGGAAGCAATCCAAGAACATCTTTCCTCTTATTTAGCAATCAATTTCAACATTTCTTTTGTTTTTCTTTTATTTCTGGAACATTTGGAAATAAACGAAAGGCTTCTCGAACAGCATCGTCAAAAGAACATGAATGCGTGACGGTTATTTTGTTCGAGACAAACATGCCAGAACAACGCGTCATCAATTAACCAATTGGAACGCAACGTTCATGGACTGAACGTGGTTTAGTTTCCTCTTACCCTCATCTCGCGCTTCGCACTCGTTTCGCGCTTCGCGCAAAATGCCGCGCGTTCGCCTCGCTTGACTCATAAAGCGCCTGCTATGCAGGTTAACTTCATCTCTCATGGAAACGCGCAAGACCTGAATGAAAGTTGCAGAGGGTGTTATGTGACTAGTGTTTTAAATGAGAACTGCTGACCCGGCAAGGAAAAAATGAATCAAGTGAACAAACCGACGGACTGTTCTTTGCTCGGTCGTTCGCGCAATTTGGTCTTCTCGACATTCGGAAAAACGCACCGCCAGCGCTGTCTTTTCAATAAAAAGAAGCACTTTTTTGTACAAAGTCATTAATGCCTTAAACCTATTTCTATAGTATGTGTAAAATAAATAATTCAATAACGTGCAGCAAGTACAAACTGACACATGAATAACAAACTGACTACTGAATGAGAAACCAACTGGCGCAAACTTCGTGAAAGAATAAATTTATTTTTTACTTCCCAGATGGAACTTCACCGCTCTACTCTGAGTATGGCCTCCATGGTTCTTTTAGTTTGCTTTTTTTGCGTTTTATAGTTCAGATATAACGCGCACACTGATTGGTTACGCAAGCGTGCTTTATGAGAGTATAAAACACGGCCCTAAAGCTGACACGCCATTTGCCAATAGTTTGTTTTAAAAATCAGATAGTGGAAAGAAATGCGTCGGGAATTTAACGGATTCTTTATCACAAAACAAATAAAGAAGCCTTGGCCGCGCTCTGTTCTGCTGTAAAGCACCCAGGAAGCGACTAGAGCACTCAAGAAGTGGGGAGAAACACTCGCCTACGTCTCGTGATTCCCCCTGCACTTCTTTCATGCTCTAGCCGCATCCTAAGTGCTTTACAACGGCACAGAACACATTCAAGGCTTCTTTATTTGTTTATTGGGCGACATTTTTCCAGCAACGTTTTCACTCCACCTCGTGAAGCGTTTTGCTTTTTTTAACTCGGAGATTACCTCAAATACTAAGGATCTAAAAGCGAGTAAATGGTGACCGTAAAAGGTTTTGCCGGGGATTTTTTAAATGACGCTTGCTTGTGCTCTCAAAAAAGGTAACGGCAATTTCCCCCTTGTGCTTGCGATCAATTAATCCCCGCTGTTCTTATTTTCATACGCGCGCTCGGCGATCTGTTAAGAGAAAATAGAGGGTCTGTTAACTGGCTAGAAAAATAATAACCACAAAGGTTAGGTGACGAGGGCTCAAAACTAGAGTTCGTAGTTCGACGGACAACCATAAATTTCCTTCAACTCCGTAGCCGTTTTTCAAATGTTCATTGGGTAACTACTCTATCTCCCAGATGTCACGATCCGGTAGATAAACCATTAGAAAGAACCATGGTGAGTTAAGGCCGATATACACGAGGGGTTTTGTTCCCGGAGCATGCTCCAGGCTCATTTTGCAGGTGTCAGTACACACGAGGGAGCGTTTTCAAGTTCGCTCAATTTGCCCCGGGAGCTTGCTCCAAAATATTTAACCTGTTTAACATCGTGGAGCATTTTGCGGGGTAGAAATTTTGCTCCCGAGGATGAATTATACCCATGAAATCGTTGGTACACACGGAGGAGCTTTGCTCCCGGAGCGTGCCCCTGGAGCATGCTCTGGGAGCAAATCCCTCGTGTGTATCGGCCTTTAACCTGAGAAGGATTAGTTGAAATGCTTAGAGAAACTTCGAGACTACGGCACTCAATCTGCGTGTATTTATTTAAAAGATGACAAGTGACAAATACTTTAAAATAACTTATCATAAAGGCGACTTCAATGTGCATTATTTTTAATGTAGATGCTTGACAGGTGACCTGTGCCTAGTGCTACTAAAATAGGGAGCTTAAGCAACGGCAAAGACGACGACTAACAAAACTTCAAAAAACAATTGGTTCAAGAGCAAATACAACAGCTGTGCACGTGCATCACGCTTTTTAGTACATTTCCTTGACGTCCACTGCAACGTGAAACCTTCCGAATGCTACGTTTTGTGGAGGACGTGAACATACGACGGCGAATTTCCCACTCTCTTTTTTCAACTCCACGAGAAATCGCTTACATTTGACAAATTGAAAGGGTCCAAATAGATGCGCTTAAGTTTGAAAAAACAAAAATTCATTTTTTCAGCGACGTTTTCACTGCGCTCGTCTCTGGCGTCATGCTTGCTTAAACTCCCTAATAGCAAGTCATTGCTCTGTTCTCATGATTTTATCCATCTTGAGGGGCAATAGCTGGGCCATCTCTCTGGTCACATCAAGTTCATCTTTAAACGTTCCCTCTGGTAGATCAGGGTGAGTATCACAGTATTGTACCAAATACTTGTAAATATCCAAACTCTTCTTTAGATTCTCGACCTTGCCTTGTCTATCAGCACATATCAACTTTGAGTACAGTCTTGCCATGTAGAACTGCGCCACAAGCGCTGGCCGCACCGAGTCTTCATCAAACGTGTCCGGTAACTTTCCATTGCGTTTCAGTGAGTCAAGAAAACTCTGGAAAAACTTAATACTTTTATTTATTAGTGTGTTTATTTTCTTGACGGCATGAGCTACGGGAGGTCCGCCCGATTCTTCGGCAATGGCGATTTTCAAATCCACCATATCGCTGTAAGCCTCGGCGACTTCAAACATTAGCTGTCTGCAAACCAGGAGATAGTGCTGCGGATTTAACTCGATAAGTACTTCACTGAGTATGTCCACCCGCCGCTTGTGCATCTTGCATCTCCTTTCGTAGTCTTCGTCGAAGAAGGCCAGAAGTTTGTACAACTGGCTCATGTCTTGCAGGATTTCCACGTGGTTAGTCACGTGACCGTCAAGGATGTAGAATTCTTTGGAGATATTCAGCCACTTTTGACCCTCCAGGAATAGCATACGAGCCTGTAGAAAAATGGAGTAAAAATTAATATGAAATGGCCATTACAATGTATTTTTAAGCCAGTGAGAACTCCACCAACCAAGCCTCAAGCAAACTTACAACGACTCCCAAAACATTAAAGATAAAGAATACCCACGCACAAACAGTGTGAACTGTGCATAGAGTTCAATGTTAACAAAAGAGGTGGGAATGAAACACAAGGTGTTTTGGAAATAGTATTACGTATTTTTTTTATTGAAGAATAATTGGCCCTATTTTCGGTTCAATTAAAGGCCATTCCCGAAATACTTTAAGCCTCTTTTGCAAAGACAGCCCTGATGCTCGTACTTTTATTCGAAGTTAGTTTTCATTCACACGCAAATTAAACTAATTTTTCTAAGAGGAGTTGAGCACAAGCTGTCACTTTGGTAAGGAGGCTTAAGGCAAATCGGAAATGGGCTTTTTTAATTAACGACAGCCAATAACGTTGAGATAGAAAAAATAGAGGTCATAAAGAAATTGCTTTGGACTGGAAAATGAATAAATAAATAAATAAATAAACAAATGATAAGGAGTTACCGACATAATTACAAGAGGCGAGGTTTGCGCAAAGAGGCCCCGCCCCGCTTGCACGATGTGATCACTTTACCGTTTTTCTACCAGACCACTACAATAGCTCCATTCCTTAAACAATCTCTTCAGGGATCGTGGCAATCATATGGAAAAAACTTCAACTTTTCACATGAGCCCGGTTACCGGAACCAATTTCGCCTTGGGTTCATAAAATGAGAAATTTCAGCCCTGTTTCCGTGAAGAAAAAAGCAAACATGGCGAAACACAAAGTTATAACTTTCGCGCCTATCATAGCTTTGGTAACTCTAATAGCTGTATTACTGCAGTTAAAAACGATGCCCTTCGGATTTACGAATTCATCTCGCTTTCGTGACGGTAACAGGGCTGAAGTGTTCATATGGCAAAATTTCCAGCCCTCTTACCGAGATCCTGCCTGGAAAAACCGAAATCTCGGGAACCGAGCCAGCCCGCCCTCTCATGTGAACACACGGAAAATTCTACAAAGGATTTAGTGGTAAGGCGGGATCTCGAAAACTCATGTGAAGAGGTCCTTAGTCGACGAAGCCGTTCTGGGTTTTCGGTGTAGTAGAACTTGCGATCATTAAAGCAGTCAAACAAAAGATTAAAATCCTAACACCAGATTAACAGAAGATAGATGTAGGTTTGATCTGTACAAACTACGCTTTATGGTAATATTAAATCTCGTCTTCATTTTACCTCAGCATACGTTTTCACCAGGTGGTCTGGTACTGACTGCTCCAGGGACGTAACTTCTAGGGACTCAAATCTTAAGGGCTCTTTCCTGTCACCTTCCTCGTCCTCTTCTCTTCTGGTTCCTTCTTCGGCAGCATCTGACAAATCAACGCCTACATTAAGTGAACACGACAGGGATGCAGCTGCGGAGGGGATTAATTTTTTAAGTTCGTTGCGACTAAAAATCTCAACAAGGCGCATCAGCTGATCATTTTGGAGGTTGTGGAACGTGAGTCAGACGTAAGCTGAATGAAGAACATTTTTTATACGTGAAAAATCGAAGTACAGAAGTACTGTTTCATTCACGTTTATACGATATTAACCTGGGCGCTCTGTTGGATTTGCATGTTTGAAGATCTCATAACAGACAGAACCTTCCCAACCAAAAAGAAAAGTAAACCTTTAATTATTAAAAAAAGATCAAACATTTTCCCCGAACATCGTCTGCAGTTGTCATGCACAAAAAGCGGTGGCTAAACAATCAAACATTTGTTTGTGATAAGCAAAAATGTTGGATGAAACATCGAAAACTATTTAAATACAATGTTAAGAAAAGCGGCGAAACGGTAAAACATGCTCTTCCGACACCATGTTGAACGAAAATGTTTGATCGTTTAGCCGGGGCTTTGTAACACCTTCAAGTACCATAGAAGCTACGGAAAGGAAAAAACATGCAACTTGTGTCGCAACACTGCTGCAAAACGAGTTGACTGGAGATGTTGCGCGTTTTACCACTCACATCAAACATGTTGTGCAACAAATCAGGTTGTTGCGTTTTACCACGTGGGTGGTAAAACGCACAACGTCACTTTTCAACTCGATTTGCAGCAATTATTGCAAAACAAGTTGCACGTTTTTGCTGCCCGTTTTACCGAAGCTTTCGTGTAAGTCATTCGCTTGCGCCTAACTGAATGATTGAACGATGAAAGCGAGAATTTTCAGGGAAGTTCTGTAAGTGGTTGAAAATTCCCCAGATACGTTTTTAACCAATGAGAAGTAAAAGCAAGAACAACGGTGACGGGCGCGTTCGGTTTTTCCCGCACTTGCCATCGCGATGATGGCCCTGTGAAAATCGATTCTCAAGCTTCTGCTTCAGACTCTAAAAATCTAGTATTTTAATACTAGAAAGCAGCTCTCCTTAAGCTTCCGTTGGTTTGATTTTCACTAGTTTGTTAAGCCCGTCCCTAGCTCAAACACCGTCGCTAATGAAAACTATAGGCTTCAATTCAATGTTGGTCAAGGTATTACATGTAAGGCCATCCTCTTTTTTTTCTCCGTTTAGCGTCGTCCCATCGACCCAAATTTTTGGCATTTTCATGAAAAAAAAACAAGTAACGACGTAGTTAAACCATTTTTCACTTGAAATAACTGTTTTAATCTGAAAATTGAGCATAGTAACAGCATAGGGAAAAACAGGAACTAAAATGAACAGGAACATTTTTTACAGTATACTGTGCATTTTGTTGATCCAGATATGTGAATGTTACCTTTTAACGTCATCCTGGGGCACCAGGGCCTCCTGTTCCGAGACTTCTTGTGATTTTTTTCCTAGTTTTTTTTTTTTTTTTTCAATCCGACCGGCCGACCCAATATCAGGAAACGCATTCGACGCTAAACGAAAAAAAAGGGGGATGGTCTAAGATTCTTTGAACATGCTCCAGTATTGTGATCAGCTGCACCGAGTTGTTCCATTGCTTCAGTAGTCGTACTTCACATTAGCCGAACCAAATGTATAGTTTTTTACCATGCACTTTCCCGAAATTCGCGTTTTTCCCCTTTTGAATTTAGATCGGCGTCTGAACAATTAAGGAGTCAACATCGTAAATTGAAGTCGACTAAACTAACGCGAAGTAAGGCTTCTGAACCGGGCCTAAGAACCAATGTAAAAGCAAATAAAAACAGCAATTGCACAGTTATCAAACCTTGTCCGGCGATTGTATCATCATCGCCCTGATCACCATTTCTCACTTCCTGGACACACTTGTCCCTTGAAGTTTTTAACAGGTCTAAACAGTATTTACTCCAACATCTGGAGATGTCCGCCTTCCTTTGAGGAATCCGCTCTTTTCTCTCGCGTTCTTCCTGGCTGTCATCCTCTGATACAGGTTCGTGAGGAGTAGTTTCTTCAGCTCCAGAAAAAACGCGACTGGCGCACGCTGTGTACCAAATTTTAGAAGATAATCATAATCAAAGAGCTGGGGACATCAACAGCCTACGTGATGATCACCCATGTTAGAATTTCAACGGCCGCCTGTAAGCTCTCTGAGCAGCTGTCAGGATGGGGTAAGAACAAAATAAACAAACAAAAGGAACAATGGACCCTAGCACCGACACAAATTGGAGGTTTCGAAGAGCGTCCTCTTTTTTGGCCCAAAATTGCCTTGATTGTGTTCACTGTTGCATTAACTTCAATTCTCTCTTTTGTCAGGTTTGCACTTCAAAGCATACAGATTAACAGTTAGCACATCCACAAAGTGTTTCTTCCTCTACCATTCCTAGTCGAACTGAAATTTGGAAAAGTTAGTTTTTGAGGAGGGGAAAACTGGAGTACCCAGAAAAAAACCTTTCGGAACAAAGGAGAGAACCAACAATAAACTCAACCAACCTGTGACCTTGACAGCACGATTTGGATGCAGGCCACATTGGTGGGAGGTGAGTGCTCTCTCCACTGTGACTCCCTTGCCCCTCAGAGGTGAGGTTAACAATTAAATACTACCAATATCGGTCTACACTTACCAAGACAGTGTCTGGACAGCATGTAGTTTCCTTGTGTGATGTAATACTGTGACAGTGTAGCACAATTTAGGGCCCAGTCCACTGGGTCATACTGTCCAGTCTCCAACTGACGAAGCAGGGTTGTATGGCAATACATTGCACCCTTTTCAGACTGTCCCATGGCTGCATTGACTTGAGCAAGGTAATAGAGGGTATGGGTGAATGTTGCACCAAATTGCCTTTCTCGCTCAAGATCTGATTTGAAATTGTTTTCAGGGTAGAAAAGTCTACAAAGAAAAGAAACCATCTATTCACCATTTGAAAAAGAGACATTTGGAAATCAAATACTTGAAAAAAGAAAACAAAAGCAGAGTTCCTGTTATCAGACAGTCCAACCATGTGAGGATGTGAAATCAGGATAGTTTTTGATCACCAATAAATCATGCAATCGCTGAAGGCAGGGGCCCCCAGGGAGGTCTGGGGGAATGCTCCCCAGTAAAATTTTGAAATGTTGATGCTCTGAAATCCCACTCTAGTGTTTTGAGAGGACAATTTCTGTCTGAAATCATCAGAAGAAAAATATCAGAGGAAATGTGAAAATCAGGATTTTTCTTATCCTGATTGACATGTTGGTTGGGATAAGGGATTTTCAGGCAAAACTGGGAGAGTCCCGACGACATGGGGATGGCTGAACAGTATGTAATATGGTCAACTTTTTCAAAACCAGACAGCATCACAACTGGCTCTGACATGTTAGGCTTGAGAGGCATGTCAATCTTACTGCCAGAGTAAGAGAAAGAGTCTCGTAAGGTTGTTCTAGCTGTAGAGTTCTGTGGACAAAATGCTACCATGTGACCATAGACCCCTTTACAGTTGTGAGGGCATGCTGGATAATCAGGACATAATGGTGGGGAATTCCAAAGTTTGTATGGGAATTCAAAGTCAATGAGTTCTTCCTGATTGAATATATTCATCACTTTCTCTTTGCACTGACTTAAACTAATGAGCTTGAAGAAACTATACACTAAATGCAGGGTTGTCAGAAAGTTTTGAAGTAGACAGCTGAGTTGTCAAAGTGAGCAGCAAGCTCTGGAGGTGCTGCTGAGCGCAGGAGACACAAGCCTCTGGGGAGTCTGGGGGCATGCTCCCCAAGAAAATTTTTATATTAAGACACTCTGAAATGCTGTTTTTTGCACTCTCCAGGCTTTTTTGTCTCCAAAATTACTGAAAATCTAAAGTGAATTATAAGGTGAATTACCGCGTGTAGGCATTAAAAGTGAGCGGCGTAAATATCAAGTGCGTTGACATTTACGAATTACTGAGATTTTTCAAGCAAAGCAGCACAAGCAATGTATTGAGTTTGGTGGCATTTTTCATAGTATCTACAACTGTAAGTGACACATAGTTTTCAGAAGATGTTTCTTAACCAGTCCAGGGATATTTTATTTAAAAAACGCCATCCGTAAAGAAATGCCAAACAGAGTAGCCAGCCCATACTAACCAAGTAGGCAGCGATTTTAGCCTGCAGCCGGCTATTTTTGACAACCCTGCTAAATGTGGAGTGCACAGCAGTCCTGTGTTGCTTTTTAGAAAAATTGACGTCTTCCATACATTTTCTGTAATTTTTGTGTTGTGGGATTACAGAAAAGGTATGGAAGAAATCCGGTTTTCTAAAAGCAACAAAGGACAGCTATGCACTCCAGATTTAGTGCGTAGTTTCTTTAACCTTATTAGTTACATTTTTCAAAGGGAAAGTGACAAATATATTCAATGAGCAAAAATTAAATAACTTTGTATTCGCAAACAAACTTCTGATTTATCCACCATCTTGTCCTGATTACCCAGCATGCCCTCTCAACCGTAAAGAGGTCTACTGGAATCAAACCTCTTTCACATGGTGCAATTTGTTTTTCAGCATTCCAAAAAATAAAATTTGGCTTTTTTTCACTTTGGCCATTCTGGGAGCAAAAGGCTTAAGAAGAGTTAAGCCACGGTTGACTCTGTAACCATAATATTTTAAGGAATTATCACACCTTTAAAACTGGACAAGTATTCTACTTACTCATGGATTTCATAAGGTGCGCCCCCTTCTTCTTTAGTAAAGGTATGATATAACTTCTCTGCCTCCTGAAGAAACCCCAAAGCTTTCTCCGAATCACCTCTTTTCGACCACAAAATTCCAAGTTCGTTCAAGGCATGCAAGTAAATGGAACAACATCTTCTATCTAGACGATGCTCTTCGAGAGTTTTAATGCACCGTTCAATGTGTTCTTCCCCCGTGCTCAGTTCCTCGGTTTCTATGTAGTTCTGTCCGATCTGGTAATCAAGAGCAGACATTAATATCTTCAATTTCTCGCTAGGACTGTCGTCATCTTGGAAAGATTCCAGTTTGGTCTTCAACTCCGATAACAAATTTCTTGCGACGTACTTTGACTTAAACGGATCTGTTTCGGGATCTTCTTGGGCTTCCTCCTCTGAGAGTCGTCTTGCTTCTTTGTACTTCTCGTATCCTTCATTTCGCAGCCAGTTGTTGATTTCTTCTAATCTTTCTTCGATGCCTATTTCAATCTCTTCCAACTCTTCCGCCATCTTGATCTGCCAGTGATGTAAATTTTTACCAGCTGGGGTAGGGCAAGTCCATACATTTGTCTCTTCGAAAGCGCCCAGAATAGGCAAAAAATACGGAATTCAAATGTTGAAATTTTATTTGATTAATTCTTATTTTACAAATCGTCTAGCCGTTACGTTGTTTTAGTTTCCGCTTTCTGGTTTTTCTAAATTACTTTAGGGGCTGGAAGATATCCCTTCAGTACCCCGCTCGCTTCTCCCTTTTTCTTTAACTGGTCACCAGGCCTGCACTTACTGTGTCATAACATGTGAGAAAAATGAACGTCCTCATAAAGGAAGAGGAGAAAGTTTCGTATGTTTACAAAGACATCCCGATTCCACAAGCTGGCAAAGGAGAACTGCTTGTAAAAGTACTCAAAGTGTCCCTGTGTGGTTCGGATATTATTTTATATGAATGGAATGAAGGTAAAGTAAACACCTGAATAAATATTAAGGGAACGGCTTACCGGGGCATGATATTAAACTTAACGTGAAGCAAAAAATTGTATATACCCTTTAGTACAGTGTTACTGCCTTCAAGATGGATGGTTAATCGTATATTTATCGCAATGCTACAGCGCAAGTCTTTGGCAAGCAAGTATTATGATGCTAATTTTAAAGAAACCAATTCATGATTCGGATGAAAAAAATCAGGTGACGCGACGTGACGTACTGATAGGGTTTTGTCCCAGGGTACCACGCCTCTCCCCATCCCCCTTTTCAGTGAAATTTTATTTTGTTTTTAAAGAACTTTCATCAGTAAAATGAATAGTATCTATATAGCTTGCAAGTGTCCCGCCCCCTTCTCAGCCTTCTTTCTAAATTTTCGCATCCGCCCCTGGGCTGTATAACAGTACTGTTGGACTGGACTGGTGAATGCCAGAACTGTCAACCTATTTGTTCCGAACTGTTATAAAACCACTAAGTTTCTTTTCTTTTACTTTAGCTGCAAAGACAATAGCAACATTGCCATTTATCCCTGGGCATGAATGTGTTGGAGAGGTATTAAGACAGAATACATCTGACAATTGAGTAATTTTAATTTTCAGGGGACAAAAACCTCGTACCAGAATATTTTAAGCCATGTCGCATTCTTTGTTACACTTTTCACTGAGAGCTGTGAATGTAAAAAGTTATATGAAATAGCTCCAAAGAAAAGGTTCTTATTGGAGCCCAAGGAAATAAATTCCATATTTCACGGGAACTGAGAAAACAAACTCCATGTAAAATTAAAATTACTCATTTTCCAAATGGGATGCTTGTCACCTCACTAAGGGGTGTAAATTACAGATTATGGTCTCACATGTACGTATGTGGTGTTTGGGATGGAAAGTCACTATATTTGCCCATTCAAGTATCACTTAGGGCTGTGCATAAAGAAATTTACATATAAAGCCTTCACTGGATACTGATAACCTTTAGTGGTCAAGGACTTAGGAAGGTTGGATTGTGAGGGGGAGCCTGGGGGAGACACTCCATAAAGTTTTATGCAGGGGCATTCCATGGCCAACTCCAACTTCTTATACTTTTTAAACCATTTTTGACAGAAAACGTGGCCCTTCCTATACCTTCTATTGACACGTTGTACCCCTTTAATTTACATACTTAGCTAGTTTAGAATGCTTCATCTCTTTTAACTGCTGTAAATGCACAGTGTTTTAAGAATGAAATCATAAAAAATCTCTAAACCAGGAAGTTTTCATTGTTTTTTTCACAGCCATAAAAGGCATCTGTTAACCTCTTTTAGAACCTTTTATTGACATATACTTCAGCTAGTGAAATCCTTTGCCTTTCATATACCTCAGAAACCTGTAAATGGTTCCCCTCCTGGGCAGAGCCTGCACTTACAGGCCATTATAGAAAGTACCCCCAGGAGGGGGGGGGGGGTGCTTAGATACAAGGTTTTTAACTGAAATGAAGGAATACAGTGGAAGCTCTCCGAACATACGCTCTTGTAAGGGGATAGCCTGCGCGCAGACGAAATTAAACTCTGGTTAACTCCGTCTGCGAAACAGCGCCGAAATCCTTGTTCTGGACTTCCAGCTGTGTACCCAGATTTGAGTACGCGCCATGATTGGCCAGTTAAAAAAGGCCTTTGTTTTGTTTGTCGTGATCGCCAATCAGGTTGAAGGGGAATTCGAAACGCACTTCCGGTAATTCGTTGAGTCCGTTGGGGGTCCAGAACAAGGATCTCTACGCTGCTTCGCAGATGGTACTAATCAGAGTTTAGTTATCGTCTGCACGCAGGCTAGTAAGGGGACAGCCTTCACAAAACCCTGTTTTTCTCATTCCCTATACAAACTCTGTATTTTTACATTCCCTTAAGTTAGTGGTCAGCTCCAGTTATGGTCACCTTTTTCGCATCCTGAGGGTGTCCATTCATGAGAGCTTCCATTGTGGTTGGTTTAAGTAGGGTAAGTATATGTGATATTAGAAGCAGGAAGCACCCTTATGGGACCCTCTGGATACACCCTGGAAATCACTCTCAATCTTGTGCACAATTTTTTCTTTTTTTCACATGTATATGTTGCGGTTCAATCTTATCCTTCGGTTAAATTTTATTTTCTTTTGTTTTGGAGTATAGTAGTGTATGATAATGAGTTTAACAACACATAAATATTATTTTGCCTTCTTAAAAAGTGCAGACTGTATGTGCAGCTTATTGGTGTGTGAACCTTCATCGTGTCAAACTATCACAATTTGGGCTTTTGTAGGTTGTTCAAGTTGGTCCTGATTGTGACAAGAAATTTTCTGTTGGACAGCGTGTCTGCTGTGAAAATCACTTTTATTGTGGAAAGTGTTATCAATGTTTACATGGTAAGACATTATCCAACAAAAAATTAAGAGCAATGAGTGTGACAAGTAAATTGTCGTGGAAGTTTTTATTATCTCCATTTTTAATAATTATTTTAATATTATGATGCAGCTGTTTTACATTTGTCTAGTACAGATTTACGTCATATCTGCCAAAATCTTAATCAGTTTGGACATGGAAGAGGTACTATTTATGGAGGTAGGGTAGATTGAATGTTGACCTACTTACTTATTAAAAATCAATCTGCAATGCTTTTCAGTTTTAGAGAATCAAGTCAGGCAATCTTAAATCAGAATGATCGACAGACCTTCAACTCATAAAATCTTTGTTTAGACCCTGCACTGTAATTTGTGATAAATGTTCTGGTCTTGTTCAAAGTCAACACCATAAATATATTGTTGATTGATTTTAATAATATGCACAACATGTAGCTCAGCTCTATAGTCATCTGGCGCTGAATCATATTTTGCAGGGTTTGCTCAGTACACAATCATTCCAGCTGGCTACTGTTACCTGCTGAAAACAAACCTGGATGTGGACAGAGCTTGCATACTGGAACGTAAGATCAATGTTATATAATAAGTTGCAATAATTGAATAACATTATTCCTCTTGCCCTCCTCTGAAAGCTAGGATTTAATTGAAGCTACTAATCATGAAGTAGAGAGAACTGGGTTTCTAAGAGAATGACTGCAGATGATTGTCTGTCCAAATATGACTTAAGTCAGCGTGTTACACTGTAAGTAAGCTAAATGTTGCTTGACGTATGGCTTCAGGTCCAGTGTTTTCTTTATTTTTTCCCAGCATTTGGTGTCGCACATCAGGCTGTGGAAGAAGTCGACCCTGCTGGGGATACTATACTTGTTCAAGGTGTAGATTTTGTTTTCCACAAGTAACCTATATAGAGATAAGGGGGTGGGGTATGAACACAGGCTAATATGGTCGGGGGTGGGGTGGGGTGGGGTGGGCCTGGAAATTCATTGAATTAGATGTAACACTTAAAAAAAACTTTTGATAGTTTTCCTTTAGTTTTGTTGACTATTAATAACTAGTTCACTTTTGTGATGATGGAATTGCTGACTGAACTTGACCTTTTTGTATCATTCTTTGTTGTAGGGTGTGGCCCTATTGGTTTACTAGCAATTGGAATCGCCAAGTGCATGGGAGCTATCAAAATGTAAGTATTGGACAGGCTTAAAAGAACACTGAGTTTCAACCATTTGCACGGGCACAAAACTGCCCGAAAAGTGCCCCTCAATCCTTGCACCACTTGTAACGTCATCACATTTTTTTCGTTCGACGGAGGGAGAAAGCCGGGCTAGATTTACCCCTCTTCTCTAGCACCCATCATAGTTGCTTACAAATCTCTTAAAGGTCGCTCGTACGTATCTTGCATTAGAGGGGTTACAATGGAACCCGGCCAGACGCGGCTTCCTTGTTGTTATGCAACTTTGATTTGTCTGGGGCGGCTGAGTGAAATTTTCATACACCAGGGACAGCGACGATAATAATATTAATAAAACTCGTAAAAAATGAATTCGCGTTGTTTCAAAGAAAAAGAGTAGCAGTAATGTAGTGTTTAAAGAGTAGAAAGTTACAGACGGAAATAAATCTTGAGACGTAATAACGAGATTTTCGTTGTTTAAGATTTGTAGTGTGTTCCTTTCTGATTTCCTATTATAAACGAAAAAAAGGGGCCTTGAAATATTATCCTACCCTGCTCTTTCGACAATATCGGCACCTCGCTAATACGGGCAAATTCTAGGCCTGTTAGAGACCGTATTTACGAGGTTCCATTATTTTAGTCGAGCGAGAAGTAGAAGTATTTATTTTGGTCTAGGACGGAGCTTGTGAGAGGGGAAAAAATATCTGATAAATAATTTTTTCCCTCTCTTCTCTCCTGGCACTCGACCACTTGTATATTCTTACGCTTCATGCATGGCAAGGGTTGTAAAAGTGGCACTAGTCGTCGCGGGTAAAGAAATTTTTTTCTCCATGGTTTTTTTTAGTAATTATAAGTAAAAGTAATTTGGTTACAATATTTTTTTCATTTTTTTATATGACATTGTACGATTCCTACAATTACATTATTGTATTGATCATGAGTTGCTTTGTATCCATGTTTTTTCGCCCTTGTCTGTTACAAGTAAAGGGAGCGCCTTGTTATCTCATTCAGTAAAGGGTACGAGCTGTACGACAATAAACAATGATTGGATGAGGCCGAGTATGACGTGAATTATTATAGATCGAGGAGAACTGGATCTGAGCTAATCAGAAACGGCGAAATATTTTGAATGAATAACTATATAACATGCATTGCACCGTATTCTTCCCTCGTCAGTATTGCAACGGATATCATGGCTGATCGACTTCACAAAGCAAAATTAATGGGTGCAGATGTCATTGTTGATGGAAAAACAGAAAACCTTAAGGAAGCTGGTTTGTATATTGTTCACCGTACGAAAAAATTATTACAAGGTCGTAAATCAAATTATCGCTACACCCTGTTGGTCTGTTACAATTAAAACTATTCGTAGTTTTTTTTTTGTATGCAGCGAAGTTCACATACTAGAGAAACTTCCGTAAACTCTCTGTTTCATAGGTCTACCTTTTTAAAAAATTCTGCTCTCATAAAGTCTGTTGGACCCCCCAAAACGCTTTACGTTCTTGTAATACACCTTAGTTTGAGAATTTGCAAAACTGAATCTTGACAAGAACAAAGCAAACAAAAAGGACGGTTTGGGACAGTATGGTTCTTTTTTTACCAATATATTTTTGGTTTCCTAAAACTTGCTGTCTTTTTTTTTTCTTTTTCGGATTTTACTGTGGATAACATGCTTTTTCATTTACTTTTAGTTTTCAGAGAAACATCGGGAGACGGTATTGGTTGTCTTCTCGAATGTTCCGGGGCGGCGCCTTTAGTCAACAATTGTTTTTCGTTACTAAGGTCAGTGGATATTGTGATGTGTTAATGGACTATATAAGCATGGTGTATGACTCGCTCATTTTACACAACAGGTCGGTAGAGAACAGAACACAAAGATGTCTCTGTGTAGACGGAATGCTCGAAATGAATTCAGGTCGGAGCGCCATACAGAATATGTATATTAGTAGATTTGAAGGCCAGTATTCGTGGTCCATCAACACTCTTGTTTTAAAACCTTCTCGATTAATTTGGACGGTTGCGTTTTACGGGGGATTTTCTGCACGAGAGTCGTCAAGCTCTGCGTCGAACGGAAAAGTTTTCACGTCAGGCGCGCCCTACGGAAATCGCTGCCTAGTGATTCGCAAGTCGCAATAAATCACGCCAATAAACCCCCACGAAATCGCAAAATTCCCAGGAAAATGTACTAGCGTATATTTCTAAAAGACTTGACACGCTAAGCCGTAGAAAAATTGGACAAGACCAGCTGAAGACAAACTGTTGATTAGAAGCTAAGCTAAAACTCCGTCCAAAAATCACTTTGTAAACAAATGACTCCTTCTGTGAGCATGGCGTTCCATTCGTGATAGGAACTAATAATCGCTGATGTATTAGACCAAAAACCTCAAGAATGTGTATTGCTGTTATTAATTTATCACCTACGACAGTTGTTCTTTTCAGTGTCAACTTGAAGACGCGTTTTTAGTATTTTGGTGTCATGTAATGTTTTAACCGTACCTGGCTTCCAATACCACATTTTAGAGCAAGCCGTGTTAATGCGCACGTTTTCTTTACTTGTAATAGGAAAGGAGGACGAGTCGTTCTTGTAGGACTTCTCAAGGTAAACTGGCTTTGTAAGATAAATATCGATAGAAGTAAATACCCATGGCAAGATTAATCCTCATGGTCTTCGCAACCCTTCACGTTGTATTCACACTGGATCCCCTGCAAGGTGCCTGAGTACAATCCTCGCCGGGATTCCAATGTGGCCACTGCTTTCTCTCAATTACTCAGCCGGCCAAAAGTTGTGCACCGCGGGCAAGAGCCTGGCGGAGTACGTGGTCAACAACTGGGGTCAATTCAGTACATATGTAAATGCGCAAGTGTAACTTTGCTTTAGAGTCTGAGAAACCTTGCCACACTCGTAAATTACACGTGTTAAAAGTTCAATTCAATTTGCCCTTGTGCTCATCAGGCACCAAAAAAGTGGAAAACAAAAAATAACATTTTGTATGATAGGAATTAGTTCACAAGCATCAGCAAGAAGATGAGCTTTTAGGTGTTGGTTCATTTTCTCGTTTAGAATTTCAGATAATTTATTCGAAAGAACTTGTTCATTTTTTTCTTAAATCAGTGCTAACTTGTCAAATTCTAAAAGAGTTATTTTAATCACAAATCAAAAATAAAGAACAGTAAACGCTAAATAATTCACTTATGGCTACTGTATAGCGCTTTTTAAAATAAATTTGAAATCAATCTTAGCTTCCCAACGCCGTATAGTAAACCGTTTTTTATTAAAAACTGTTGATGCCACAGAACAGCAATCAATGTTAATGTGAATCTCATTTCACTTCTTTAAAGCAACCTCTTCATGTTGAGAACTTCCTTCAAGATGTATTATTTAAGTCCTTAACATTGAAAACCATTCACGGGAGAAAGATATTCAGTACTTGGGAAAAATCTGAAGAGCTCTTATTCAATAACAAGTAAGTAATGAATCCACTGCCAACAACCGAACTGTTTCAAATCCCTCGTTATTTAGTCTGTGAAGCCTGTTCAAGTGTTCCATTGGTTATTTTTTATTGCTAAAACGGAACGCATATGATTCTCATGGATTTTACAACCACTCCCCCTGCTAACAGTGCTTAAAAAAGAAGATGAGATTATTCAGTTTGTCCTTATAGACTGTTACCAGGGCTCTCCAATCTTAAGCATTCTTAAGACTATGTTCGCACTATACTTTGATAGTTCAGCTATCCGATAGAGTGCGACACGAAGCCGACACGACGAGCTAGATCCAGTATAGTATGCCCGGGGGAGGGGGACTCCGCATATGAAACGGGTGGGGATGCTCGTCGGAAATTTTGAATTAAACCCCTAAAGGAGACCGATCTGGGCGTCGCCCAAGCTTTTTTTTGACCCCTAAAAGAGACCATGTTAAAACACAGACAATATATATATTTTTATATAGTTGTTTCGCGTGCAACCCTAAACGAGACCTTCACGGCTAAATATGATGGCGGTTTGCCCAGAACACCCTAAGTGAGACCAAAATCCGAAATTTACACCCCTAAGCGAGATGACGAGCATCCCCATCCCCCCCCCCCCCCCCCCTGGATAGTATGAACACCTATCCGATATGACTCTCCTGTATTTAGAGATCGTTACCCCGCAGCTTCCCTCCGGTACGAAAATCGCGCAGAAATCACCGTTCTCATGTATGAACAGAAGCCTTATCGGGTATGGTCTTCATGTCGGCGCAAAAGTTATCTGCTATAGTGTGAACATAGACTAAGACTTTCTCTTGGCAAGTGCAGCCTTTTAACACTTCATTCGGCGTCTTGTCCCTTATTTCTTCACGCTTCGTTTGATTGAAATTGTAACTTCGCAACAAAATGTCTCACTTTTAGTCGAGTGGCACAGTTGACCAACATGATGAGCTCGTTGCATGTGTTTCAAGAATAGGAACTACTTTAGCAGACTAAATACGTTATCATACGCTTGTTACTATGATATAACCTTAATAATTTTGTTCCAGAGTTGATGTAACACCCGTGATTACTCATCAAGTTCCTATGAGCCAGTTTGAAAAGGTGAGATCGAAAACCCCCTTTTTGTATTTACTGTCTCATCTCATCTTCATCGAAGATGCTTTTACTAACAGCATTGAAACTTGCTGATTTCGGGCAGACGATCTGACTGGCAAACAGGTTCAAAACGAGGTTAAGTGCTCAGCCTTTGATATGGAAATGATTTTTATTCTCGTGCAAATAAAACTCATTTTCACAAAAAAGGTTGTGCACTTGGCCTCATTTTGAAAGGGAGGGTCTTTGGAACTGGGAAGTGGACTATTGTAAAGAACTGACTGACCAAGCCAGACAGAGTGGGCGGCTTACCGCTGACTGGCTGAGACGAAACTAAACGGACAGTGTACAAAGAAAGCGAAAACAGACCGAATGATTAAAGGAACTGTGTCACGAAATCTAGAGGGAGCTGCCACCAAAGTGAGTGAAACAAAAATAACAGCTCAAAACATTTAAAGAAGTTATAAATAATGCAGCTAATACTGACACAAGGAGTCATGACACCGTCCGTCGATCGGCGAAAGCTTGGATCTCAATTTTAAACAGCAGTTTAAGGCTTCATTCATTTAGAATGATATTTTGATCTTTTAAAATGCTGCTGAAGGACAACATGAACAAGTTATTAATATTGAAACAGATCGCAACTTGAGTTTTTGAAAACTTGTTAGCCTAACACCTGCAGTTTTTCAAAGTTCATTCTTTTTGTCTGTAACTTTAGATATAATGCTTGGAAAACGAATTTGTTAAAAAACGAAGCAGAGATTTTGTCATTTACATTACATGTAATTTCTTTGCTAACGTAATAAAGTTCCCCTACGAATAATTGGCAATGTTAAACAAATGTAATATATTGCCGTGACACTGCCCCTTTAAGGTAGACGTCATTTTTCCTGCGTGTCTTTTTAGGTAACAGAGCATGAGACAAACTAAATGACCGGCGGACAGAAAAACTGATCATCTTTGACTGAGGTAGACCGAATGACGGCAAGACAGACAGACTGGTTGAGTGGTAGTTTGTTTAGAAACGTGCTTCAATCCAACCCCGCTTTCGCTTGAACTATACTCAATCAACGACTTATGGAATGGATGTTTTGCTGTAATAAAGTCTCTCGCAAACCTTTTAAAAATAGTCCAATATCTGTCATTGTTGATACAGTCTGTGTGTTTTCTTTTTCTCCTTCAGTAATCTTTTTTTGTTTCTTTCTTTTTTTTCTGTAGGCGTTTGAGTTGTTGAAGTCTGGAGAAGGATGTAAGATAATGGTTGATCCACAGTCATGACAGTTCCTTTCCGACCCCTGTTGATAAATTATACTAGGTGAAATTTTAAGATTTCCTGATGTTATACTCGGTGCCGATTTTTTAAATGTTGGGTTCGGAAATGAGGTGACCCATCCCTGCTATGGGAGTGGAATTTGCTAACCCTCCCCTTGACCTCGGCCTAAAATATCATGACCCTCCCCCTCTTGTATAAATGATAAAATCTAGTCCTTGAAATACACTAGGGTGAGTCAGTATTATGGAAGCTCAAAATATATTTCTAATCTGTTCTTTGTAATGCCATATACATACATTTTAGATGACAGCATTAAGAGTCCGACTCTAATTCGGACAACTCATCACTCGACTCTCCTATTTCTCCCAGTTTTTTTTACAAAATAAAGAACTTCTTTTTTTTCTGTGACTGAACCTCTACATGATCACGGACACATATTTGCATGACCCTCCCCCTTTTAACGGCCCATTTTTCATGTGAGTTGTGACCCTCCCTCTGTTTCCACCCCTCCCCCCCTCCCCCCTGCTAATTTCTGACAAGTCCCTTATATAGCTGGAAATTGTTTCCCAACAACGCGCGCTCTCATCGGTTACTTTGAGGTCACATGACATCTAACAATGAAACTGTTTCCCGCCATAATCTCCGAGCGGGCAACATTGCAAAATCTATGACGTTAGAGGATAACAGTGCACTGTTACCCGCGAATGTTGACCGACAACCGCCTTTACAGCGAGGTTTAATGAATTTCCAAATCATTTGAAGACTGGTCCCTCGGGAAAAAGTTAATTTTGCGGGAAACATTGAGATTCTCGGGAAACAAAATTAACTGTTTCCCGACTCATTAAGTGTTTATTATTCTCGCTCACTAGGTATTAATTTCACCGTGAAGTTCGACGTTTGCTCAAGGTCAATTATGTAAATGTAGATCACATTTATTGATATAGAATTAAAAAAGACAATAATAAGGATACAACTCACACTCATTCCTCGTAGTTTTAAGAACTCTTGGGCGCTTTCCATTTAGGAAAAAAACCCGGAAATTTCGGTGGTAGCAAAAGTGGAATTTCCGATCGGTAAAAAGTTGTTCCATTTGGTCGTAAACACCGGTACGTGGCGGTGCCCGACCGTGGACCTGGAACTGGTACAAACTACGAGAAACGTAAATGGAACACGACATTCCGTTCGGAAATTCCAACCGGGAAAACGGGACCACCTTTTTAGATTTTCCACTTTTTCTGGGAATTTTCCAGTGGAACGAACCGACGAAACGTGTTCCATTTACCGCCGAACGGGAAATTCCGGAAATTTTAACTAAATGGAAAGCGCCCCTTGTAAGCTATCACCTGCAGAAATGCTAGAAAAAAGTTGTTTTGCTTGTCGCTAGTGAAGCATGTTAGGCCCCGTCCACACGAACGCAATTTTTTGAAACGCCCGTATTTTTTTTACCCGGATTCGTGTAAACGTGGCCTTTAACTCTGGAAAGCAGTTAAAAAAAGACACCAGTTTCGGTGAGCTGATTCAGTGGTTTCGAGTGGACGAAAGGCCGATTCGTGTAAAAAGGTGCGGTATCAAAAATACCGGGATTGGTGTGGACGTGGGCTTAGACAATGAGTAATCATTCATTTAACGAGCGATCACTCGAACGAGCGTGGAAATCATCTCCCACGACGCGCGGGACAAGAATAAAAACTAACTATGTACGTGAAGGAAATGGGGCTATTCAGGTGTGTGGCGATATAATAAGAAAAACTTTGACTAGTCTGAACGTCAGACGTTAGTTGTTACATAAAGATTGTCGTAACTGGTTCCCCCTTCGTACCAATACATGTGGTCAAAGCGCCCGTGCGTCGGATCATCCCGCGGATGGCGAATTTCGCGCTCGCTTCTGGTTATCGGTTGCCCTATCAAGAGAACGTAGTAGAACATATTACATTTAGTGAGAGAAAGATGGTCAACAAGGCTTCAAAAAGCAAGGGCCTGTTTACTTGATACCGGAATAACTTTCATTCCGGAATGAGTTTCGTTCCAGAGTGAAGTTCGTACTGCATTCACGTAATAAAATCAACTGGCTCAGCCTTAGGCGTTTTTCGTTTGCCTTTTTTTTTTTCGCCAGATCAGATAAGCTTGCGCCACTCACCCCCAAACTACACGATTTACCATTTTCAATCAGTTTACATGATACCAGAATGAAATGTCGTACCAGAAAGAGAATTTTATTCGGAATGAAAATTCGGAGTGAGTCACTGTGGCATCATGTAAATAGCCCCTAAATGGTAGTCCTGTTCTAAAACATTGGCAGATCAAAATTCACTATCAAGAGTACTGACTGTTTGTATGTTTTGGCACAAGGTATCGTTTTCTCAATGCCTACTGATAAAACAACTGAATAAACAAAAAAATATTTCAATACAACAACCTTCATGAAGAGTACACTTTTTTTAGGCTTTCTTCACGAGTGAATTGCTCTTCTAAAATAGAGCGAATTGCCTTAATTGTCTTTATCTATTAATCGATCTAAACGCGGACTAAAATAATTTTCCCCTTAGAACAATCTGCTCTCTTCATATGCAAATCTGTGATAGCCACACTGTACGCATTACCATAATGGAGCTTTATTAAATGAAAATCATTTT